CGAGGCAGCACTCTGCGCCGAAATACACGCCGAGCAACAAGACATGGACCTGCAAGAGGAACGGCACAAGAAGAAAGCATCAGTACCCGAATTCGCGTTTCACACTCAGCGACGCTACAACAACAACAACAACCGACAACAACCAAAACCCGTACCTCCGTTCTGCCATCTTTGCAAGACGTCAGGACACCCGCGCACACACTCACCAGAAGAACAACTCGACAACACCACACCCCGCCGCGAGTCACTTCAACCGAATCCAACGTACGCAGCCATCGCCCAGAGCGAGCCATCCGGGAAAGACACCTGGTTCTTGGACAGTTGCTGCGGACAGCACATGTGCTCTTCAGGACGCTTCGTGCAGCAAGAGTACCAACTCCAACGCGAAGTAGTCATCACCGTCGCCAACAACCAGAACCTGCGCACACGACGACAAGGCGTGGTTCAACTTCAGTCAAGAGAGACAAACGTTATACTACAGATGTCAAAGGTATTAATCGCGGAGGGACTCGGCTACAACTTACTGAGCGTCAGCCAGTTGATGGCAAAAGGCATTCACCTCGAAGCAAACAGCACCACCCAAGAGCTCAAGTTGTACCACGGGAGAGGAGGTCTCTACATCGGCAAAGCAGTCTTGAACAACAATGTCTTCGTCCTCGACTTCGTTCCAGACCTCGGCACCGCCGACAGCGACGGTATCGTCACCTTCACCTCTTGGACACATCCACCGGATATTGACCCAGACTTCAGCCCCGGCGGTTTCTGGTATTCACACACGATACCTGAAGCAGAAAGAACAAGAGCGTTAGCGACAATTCAACATTCGGCAGCAGCAGAGACAACATCGGCAGCAGCAGAGACAACATCGGCAGCAGCAGAGACAACATCGGCAGCAGCAAAGACAACATCGGAAGCAGTAGAGACAACAACGGCAGCAGCAGAGACAACGGTAACAGCAGTGGCAACGTCAACACCAATTGCTGGTCCTTCAACGGCACCGATCTTCGTCGATGACACACCACCGACACCCGCGCAGCAGCTAAACCCGGCACCACGAGAAGTTCATCGAAGCGCCAACTTTACCGCCAGCTTCTACTCCAACTCCGACATGTATCGACGTTCACCCGGACACCGCGCCAGCGAAGAAATCTGGCACGCAAGAATGGGACACCCAAGCAACACGGTGTTAAACAACACGATAAGAGCAAGTGTGCTCGACAAAGATTCGCTCCTACTACATGACGGGAGAGAACTCCAACGAGTAAAAGGAACGTGCTTCACATGCCCTGAAGCTGACTTACCGCATCAGCCGTTTGTCCCTCACCACAACCCGAGTGCACCAGCATACGCACCGCTTGAAAAGGTGTACAGCGACATCCTGTACAACCGCGTACCAGGACAAGGAGCTTACAACTACACCATCACCTTCATCGACGCCGCCACCCGATACGTTTGGCACCTGAACCTTCCGAGTCGCGACATGGCTTTCGAAGCCTTCGTCGCCTGGCTTCCAGCAGCAGAACGAGAGTCCGGAGTAAAACTAAAGAGTTTTCAGTCAGATGGAGGTGGAGAATACACCTCATAACGCTTCAAGGACTACCTGGCGGAGAAGGGAATCAAGAGGCTCATCTCCCTTCCTTACGCCCATCAACAGCAGGGTGTAGCAGAAAGGATGAACAGGACCCTCCAGAACACCATGCGCAAGCTGCTACGAGGCATGCGGCTACCCAACCACCAGTGGCCCGAAGCAATGGACCACGCCGTCATGCTGCACAACTTGCTCTCGTCATCATCGCTCCCGAACAACGCATCACCGCATCTGCTGTGGACAAGAAAATTGGGCAGCACAAAAATGTTACGAGTCTTCGGCTGCATGGTACAGTACCGACCCCCATCTGCACGAGCCGGCCGATTCTCCCAACGCGCACAGTGGGGACTACACCTGGGCATCGAAAAGAATTACAACGCATGGAAGATTTTCGACGTCCACACCAAGGAAACAGTGGCAGCACGTGATGTGATTTTCTACGAATGACTCACTCTCGACTCCTAACTAGCCAACGTGGAAGAACAACGCGACCTCACCAGTGGACTTTGTGGAGACCGAGCCTTCGCTTCCGCAGCGGACGAAGCTGACTGGGACGAGCAGAACGTGGACGCAGCCTCGGAGGAAGCCGGACCTCTCCCGTACTGCTCCGTCGATGTCCCAATGGATGACGAAAACCCTCGCGAAAGCGTCAACGCCGAAGTATTTTACCACTTCGCCGACAACGGTTACGTTACACCTGCAGAAGTCAACACCAACGAAGCAGAACGCATAGGGCCCAACTTCATACCTGACCCAGAAGCAGGTGACGAAGCAGCTTATCCCGCGGATACCACACTCCCCCCGCTACACACAGAGTGGCCTTCAGATACTTGGCCTCGTCACCGCAGTCCACGGCACTGTGATTCCTAAGGAGCCTGCGACAGTTCAGCAGGCTCTGGGGGGGGAGCACAGGGAAAAGTGGCGCGAAGCCATGGACAGGGAATTGAAGGCACTAGAGGAACGCAACACCTGGAAAGTTGTTCCTATCGGAGTGGCACGAAACAAGACTATACTCACCGGGAAGTGGGTCTTCCGAGTGAAAACAAAAGCAGACGGCACCATCGACAAATTCAAAGCACGCTGGGTTGTACGTGGCTTCGACCAGGAACACGGACGCGACTTCACCGAGACATTCGCCCCGGTCAGCCGAGACACCTCACTTCGAATCCTCCTCGCGATCGCCGCCTTGAAGAAAAAGAAGCTGTGGCAAATCGACGTCGCGAATGCATTTCTCTACGCACCTGTTGACGCTGAGATCTTCGTCGAGCTCCCGCATGGCTCCAACGGAGAACCCAACCAAGTCTGTCAACTGCTGAAGTCGCTCTACGGCATCAAACAAGCTCCGAGGCTGTGGCAACAGTGCCTGCACGCAAGACTTATCCGCATAGGATTTCGCCAGCTACCTCACGACCAGGGAATGTACCGGCTGACAAAAGGCACCGACTACATCCTACTAATTGTCTACATAGACGATCTGCTCTACATCGGGTCGACCGACGGCGTCACTACTTAGTTCGAAGGGGAGCTGCAGAAAGACCTCACGCTCACAGTCTCGTCTACCGTCACACAATACCTCGGCCTCAACATCCAGGAAGAAGAAAATGCGATCTACCTCAGCGCAGCGAAATACGCCGATACCATCGCCAAGCGCTTCGCACTCACGCCGACCGCCATCTCAATGCCATACCGCTACACGGCAGGAAATCACAAGGAAGGCTCCGCTCTACTCAAGCCCGCCGGCATACGCGACTACCAGAGGAAGCTGGGATGCCTCCTCTTCGCAGCTGTCACCTGCCGCCCGGACCTATCGTACTCTGCAAGCCAGCTCGCCACCTACCTCAAGAAACCTGAAGCGGAACATCTGGCGGAGCTCGACCGTGCTCTTCACTACCTTGTCAGCACCCCAACAATTGGCCTGACCTACCATAAAAACACGACTACAGCGCCTAAACTAATCGGCTACGTCGACGCCGATCACGCCGGTGACTTCGACAACAGACGCTCGCGCACCGGCTACATCTATCGCCTCGAGCCTATCTGACCTATCTCTTGGCAGTCGAGCAAGCAGGAATTAATCGCCCTCTCTTCAGCTGAAGCAGAATATATCGCACTCTGCTCAGCCACCAAGGAAGGACTGTACCTTTGCGAACTCCTGGAGGAAGCCAAGCTAGCCCAGTTACCAAACTTTACCCTGTTCTGCGACAACCAGTCGGCCATTCGCATAGCCAACAAGAGCGGCTTCGCGAACATGACGAAACACATTGCCCTGCGATACTTCTTCGTGAAGGACGAGATCGAGAAAGGAAGACTCGAGCTGTCATACTGCCCCACATCCGAGATGGCAGCCGATTACTTGACCAAGAAGCTCGGAAAGCAGAAGTTCGAGTACTGCATGCTGCTGACTGGACAGAGCCACGTCACCAACTGCGACACTCCAGAAGCGAAGGGGAGTGTTGGAAACAATTAACTCTAAGCGCCTCTGTCGTGTCGAAACACCAAGTCAGAAGCGAAGCGAAGTATATCGAAGCACCGGCGAGTCAACTCTCGGAGGTTGAGCGGTTGCTAGAGGTTACGCGAAAGTCAAAGGTCAGCGACCTTTGACCTGACAAGTACAGCGCGACAGCAAGGACACACAACTGACTCGATACAGAGCAGTTGCCCGAGTCGTCACTGTATCGAACCGCAACAGCAACAGTAAAGTAGTTGCAACCGTATCTCTTCGTATTCCCTGTACTCTTATATAATCTTGTATCGCTTTGCTTTAATCAATCTACTTTGCCCTCACATACTAGCGCAAGGTGGTTCACAACTCTTTATTAAAACGCTTCCGCTATTACATCAGTCCTACCCAGAGTTCACCCCTGCAAAGATCCTAAGGGCTTTTTCTCAGCCCAACAAGACAGGGTGGGCCTAGACCAATTTTGGGCCCTGCTTCCAGCAAGGCAAAACGGTTCGGCGCGCACAAGCTGCAAGTACAGCGCATGTGAAAAAAATCCAAGTGTGTGGGTGGGGTGGGGTTTCGTGAATCACGGGAAGGTACAGTCTGTACACGCGTCGGGTACCCTATCCTCCCCCCCCGCACGCGGTCAAGTCCGTTTCAGTGTGACTCACTGAACTATACTGATTCGTCAGTGTAACTTGTATAGAAACACGCAAAATGGTCAGTGTGGCAAAAAAGGTAATACTGAAATATCAGTGCAAAATTGAGGCATATGCTGAATTTTCAGGGAAAACGAAAATATGAGCTACAAAATCAGCGTGTTTTACGCTGATATCTGAGGGCCTGATGGGCAGAGTGATCTCATGTCATTGGCTCTCGCCACATTGGAACGTGTCACTATTTTGCCTACGGGCTTTAAGATAGATGACAATGTGATGAAACAATATATTCATGCTGGTACGGTAGATTATATCATTTTTGTAAATACCACGAGACAACTGCATCACACAGCCTAACCCCATCCACTCTAAGGCGATTCCAATAGGGAAGCGCAATCACACAGTGCTCAATCCCCACTGGGATAAACACATCACTACCCTTCCCCCTCTGCTGCACACTTTGAACAAACTTCCCCACATTCTGCCCTGCCCACAGTGCCGCCAATTGCTCACTGCTAGTACACTCCTTACTCGCTTTTTTCCCCGCTAAAGACAGCGCCAGCTGCCGCGGCGAGCTGGCGGTCAGCGATTGGACGGTGAGGTTCGGGAGGAGCCGAAGCAGCTCGGCAACGCACCGAACCGAGTAGGTTTGGTTGGTAGGGGAGAGTTGGTTTCCAAGCATGAGGGCGCGATAGTCAAAGAGAGAATTGATGACAAAGAGGGGGAGGGAGCGGGGTATGAAGGGCAGGGCGTATTGGGGGAAGAAGCAGTGCCACCGCTCACTCGTAGAATAGGCTGCGAGGAGGGGGAGGGGGGGGGTGGGGGAGGTGGGATGGGAAGAGGGGAGGGAGAGGGCTGGTTGGTTGGCTGCAAGGTTCAAGAGGGGAAAGGGAATTAGTATTGGGGGAAGAAGCAGTGCCACCGCTCACTTGCAGAATGGGCTGAAAAGGGGGGAGGGATGGGGGAGCGGGGGGGGGGGGGAGGGGGGGGAGAGTAAGCGGATGCGGGTTGGAGAGTGGAAGCAAAGGGAGGAACGAAGCGTCAAGTTTGAGTGATGCAAGGGCTGGTTGGCTTACCTTGGTAAAGGGTGGCATATTCTGGGAAAGGGTGGGATACCCAACACACAAAGGGCGGCATACCCAACACACAAAGGCCGCTACCTTGCGCGCATTTGGTGCTGCCAGTGAACTTGTGCAGAGCAGAGCAACATTCCCCTTGAAAAGTGTGAGCTTGTGTTTTGAGGCGACTCTTCTCAATGCCCTTACCTTGCGCGCACTTGGTGCTGCCAGTAAACTTGTGCAGAGCGACAATGTCAGACGCCATTCTCTGAAAGAAAGGCTGCCCATAGCGATCGTTCGAGTCTGTGCGAATTGTGGGGAGAGGTAGGGAGAGGTGGGGAGGGATTGAGGGAATGGGGAGGGGTGGGGAGGGGCGGGTTTGAGGCGGGGAGTGGTGGAGAGGAGGGGGAGGGTAGGTTGTGCGACTAAGTGATCAAACTTATGCAGAGGAACAAGGTCAGATGCCATCCTTTGAACGAAAGGCTGCCCAAAGCGATCGTTCGAATCTGCCGCAGAGTTGAGAGATTTGTGGGACGGATGAGTGGGGCGGGGAGGGGCGGGGAGTGGCGAGAGGTGGGGAGGGGTGTGGAAGGGTGAGAGGAGGAGAGCGACAGGGATGGGTGGGGAAGGGGGTTGACAAAGGGTGTGTCAGAAAACAAGTGACGAAACTTGAGCAGGGCAACAACGTGAGAGGCCATTCTCTGAAAGTACGCCTGCCCTGTGCGATCCTCCAAGTCTGTGCAAGGGGTGACAGGGTCGTTGTTACTCATGGTTTTGGAAGAGCAGCAGTGCTAGAGAAAGCGTTTAGCCTGGCTAAAGAGAACTCTGAAAAAGAGTAAAACCCTGGCTAAAGAGAATTCTGAAAGCTAAAAGCTGTATTCACTCAAAGAGAACAGGTCGCAAACATGTTTCGGCAAGGCGGGGAATCCCGTCAAGCCTTTATCAGTGCTTCTGAAAGTACGCCTTTCCTGTGCAATCCTCGAAGTCTGTGCAAGGGGTGACAGGGCGTGGGCAGCTGGGTTGACAAAGGTTGTGCCAGTAAGTGTTCAAGCTTGAGTAGAGCAACAACTTCAGCAGCCATTCTGTGAAAGCAAGGCAGCCCATAGCGATCTTGGGAGTCTTCATGGGATGGGCAAGTGGAGCAGAGAGCAGTGGGGAGGGGTGGAGAGGGGTGGAGAGGGGCAGTGGTTCATCTTTTGCAGAGCAATAACGTCAGAGCCCATTCTCGCAGGGAGGGGTGTGGAGGGGTGGGGAGGGGTGGGGAAGGGTGGGTGGGGAGGGTAGGGGTGGGGAGCGGTGGAGATAAAGGTTGTGCCGGCAAGCACGTGTTTGAACTTGTGCAGAGCAACAATGTAAGTTAGACAGAAAGTATGGCCATTCTCTGAAAATTCTTTTGAGAATTCTCAAAAAACATATACTTGTACAGAGCAACAATGTACGAGGCCATTCTCTGAAAGTTAGGCTGCCCCAAGCGAAGCACAGGTTAGTTTTACTCGCCTTTGAACCCCTCATCACCGCACCCCACCTCACTAGTGAAGGAGCCAGAGTCTATGAGGCATCTGATCGTGCGTGCATTAGGAGCATAAGAATGGTTGGCTTGGCTATACACCACTTGAAACCCCTTATCACCGCACCACACCTCACCTGTGAATGAGCCGGAGTCCATGAGGCATTTGATGGTCTTTGCATTGGGAGCATACTCCCGCATGTGCTCACACAGCGTCAGCACCGTCTGGGCTCCTGCTGATTGCCCTGGTAGAGGGGGTAGAGAAACGCAGGCATGCGGTTTGAGTTGACTTGGGTTGACCTGGGTTGAATTGGTTGTCTTTGCATTGGGAGCATTCTCCTGCATGTGCTCACACAGTGACAGCACCGTCTGGGCTCCTGCTGATTGTCCTAGTAAAGGGGGGAGGGGGAGGAGGGGGGAGGAGAGGGGAGATTGAGTTGACTTGGGTTGGCTTGATGGTCCTTGGCCATTGAAACATACTCCCGCATGTGTTGATACTGCATCAGCACTGTCTCGGCTCCTGCTGATTGGCCTAGTGATGTGGGTGAGGGGGGGGGAGGGGGGGGGGGGGGGGGGGGGGGGGGGTGGAGGGGGAGTGGAGGCGGGTGGGGGGAGCAGATTTTGAGTCTTGAGAACACTTGAGTTGACTCGATTTGACTTGAGCTCACAGGGAGCATACTCCTGCATGTGTTCGCTTCACAGAGTCAGCACCGTCTGGGCTCCTGCTGATTGGCCTGGTATGGTGGTGAAGCAAGGCACGCAAATGGGTTGACTCAGGTTGACTCGAGTTGACTTGATTGTCTGTGCATGGAGCGCAGACAGCAACCGCTGGCAGGCCAAATGCTTGGCTCGTCCATTCGCATTCCCATTACCTGACAGCAGAGTTGACTTTTGGGTCGACTCACAAGTCCATTCCCGTTACCTGACAGCAGCCCCTGGCAAGCCAAGAATCTAGTCTGTCCGCATTACCATTATCTCAAGTTTGAGTCGACTCAGAAATGCAGGGGCAAGTATCAAGTCTCTGCACTCTACCTGACGACAGCCCTGACAGCAGCCCCTGGCAAGCCAAGAATCTAGTCCAACCGCATTACCACTTTCTCAAGAATCTAGTCCAACCGCATTACCACTTTCTCAAGAATCTAGTCCAACCGCATTACCAATTTCCTGACTGACAGCAGCACTCGTTCGGCCGACTGCATTCCCCTTGCTTTCTTCCCGCCTCTGTTACATGGGATTCCCATTACCTGACAGAAAGCACAACCCGCCCACTGTTGGTCTTCCCACAGTACCTGACAGCAGCACTCGTTCGGCGGACTGCATTCCCCTTAACTCCTTCACATCTGCCAGCACCGCTTTGATTCCATTCCACCCGTCCATGTAAATCCCGAAGCTGCTGTTCACTTTGACCCATCCCGCCGTGCCCTGAAACCCCCCTCCGTCGCAATAGATGGGCACTACGAGGTTCCAGTTGCGGAAGGCGCGGTTGACATAAGGGCCGGTGCTTAATATGCCCAAGTATGCGTATGATGCCTGGTGGTGGGGAGAGAGTCACAGCACAGCAGGGCAGGTGAGGGGAGACAGAAAAGCCCCTCGTTGGGAATGGATGGGCATGACCAGGCTCCAGCTGCGAAAGGCTCGGTTTAAAAAACGACCACGTATGCATGTGAAGTTCGGTGGGAGGGAAAGGGCATTGCTGGTTAACGCTGGTCAGTGCACTCACACTGCTGTACGGATTTTCCCTCTGAATCTCAGGCTTAGAAGACCCAAGAAAGGGTGAAACACCAGCCCCTGGGCGGCAGGTGGACGTAGATTTGACCTGGTCAACGCAAGTCAATGCTGGTCAATGCACTCACATTGCTGTAAGCATTCTCCTTCTGCAGCTCAGGCTTAGACGACCCCAGGAACGTGGTGCTGCGATTCGCACACCCAGAGAGGGTGGAGCACCAGCTACTGCCCTGATAGCAGCAGAGCAACACCATAACCCCATACATACATACATACATACATACATACATACATACATACATACATACATACATACATACATACATACATACATACATACATACATACATACATACATACATACATACATACATACATACATACATACATACATACATCCATACATACATACATACATACATACATACATACATACATACATACATACATACATACATACATACATACATACATACATCCATACATCCATACATACATCCATACATACATCCATACATACATCCATACATCCATACATCCATACATCCATACATACATACATACATACATACATACATACATACATACATACATACATACATACATACATACATACATACATACATACATACATACATACATACATACATACTAACACACACACACACACACACACACACACATACACATACATACATACACACACATACATACATACACACACACACACATACACACATACATACACACACACACACACACACACACATACATACACACACACACACACACACATACATACATACACACACACACACACATACATACACACACACACACATACATACACACACACACACACACACACACACACACACACACACACACACACACACACACACACACACACACTCACGTTACTATAAGGACTATCCTTCTGCCGCTCGGGTTTAGAGGACCCCAGGAAGGTGGTGCTGCGATTCGCACACGCAGAGAGGCTGGAGCACCAGCCGCCGGGCGGCAGGTGGATGTGCCACGACGACGCACCATTGCGGAAACCAGGGCGGAAGTAATATCCAGGGGGGCTGGGGGGTGAGTTGAAGGGGTTGAGGTGGAGGGGGAAAGGGGAGAAAGTGAGAGGAGACGGGCATTGGTAGAGACGAGGAGCACCAGCCGCCTGGCGGCATGTGGATGTGCCATGATGACAGGCTGCTACCGAAACCGGGGAGGAAATAATATCCCGGGGGGCTGGGGAAAGGAAGAAGGGGAACGGGATAATGCGGGGGAAGGTGGAAGGTGGAAGGGGGAGGAAGTGTGCGGGAGACATTGGTAGGGACAAGTGGGCTACCAGCCGCCACGACGACAGACCATAGCCGAAACCAGGGCGGAAATAATACCCGGGGGGGGTGGGGGGTGGGTTAAAGGACGGTACGGGAGAAAGAGATGGGGGATACAAGGAGGGGGAGGGCGAGAGGGGGGTGGCGAAGAGCACAAAAGGCGAGAGGGGGGTGGTGAAGAGCACAAAAGGCGAGAGGGGGGTGGTGAAGAGCACAAAAGGCGAGAGGGGGGTGGTGAAGAGCACAAAAGGCGAGAGGACGAGACAGGTGGATGGATGTGATGTGCCACGACGACAGTCCATAGCCCAAGCCAATGCGGAAGTAAAAATACCTGGGGGGCCTGGGAAGTGGGGGGGTGGGGGGGCTGGGGGATGAGGAGGGATGGAATGGGGGACACAAGGGCTTTTGAGACGTCTCAAAAGTCGATACAAGGGAAAGAGGGGTGAAGATCGCAAAAAGCGAGAGTGAGGGTGGCGGCAGGTGAATGGGCCACGACGGCGGACCATATGGGCCACGACGGCGGACCATATGGGCCACGGCGACGGACCATAGCCCAAGCCGATGCGGAAGCAGCACCCAGGGGGTTTGGGAGGAAAGGGGGCGGGGTTGAGACGAGAAAAGGCGCTACTGTGCCCCCCTCGTCTCTCTGCGTCCGTTAAAAGATCGGCTATTGGGGCGGACACTGTTGTGACAAGGGTTACCGTGCGATTGACGGGTTGCCTTCCGTCGAGGCACTTGGCGTTGAATCGGTTGTTAGGAAGCACCGTACAAGCACGCTCGGTACGGTTACTGCGACTTTCCTCTGAGTCAGAACTCGTACCTTCCGTCGAGGCACTTGGCGTTGTATCGGTTGTTGGGAAGCAACGTTGGCAACACGATCGGTACCGTTACCGCAGCTTTTCTCGCTGTTCGCGTCGACTCGATCCCCGCTGTAAGCCGACCCGTTAACGCGAGCAGCAAAAGGATTGCCAGTACAGGAAACCTAGTACGCTGGAAATCGCCGGAAATCGCCACGTCTATCCCCGTTACAGCCCTCGGTCTGATTTTTCTACACGTCTGTAGTAGTAGCCTCCCTGATCGTCGCCCTTCTACTACATAAATGTTCGCGTTCGATGATGATAAGGAGGAACTCGAGACAGATGACATGGAGCCCTGTAACGCGCAAATAAGCCCTCTAACGAAGAAATTAGCTAATGAAGCGGACGCGATCGAAAATAAATAGGCGAAAACCGGAAATGCTGGTATTTATAACGGGGATTGGGTGCCACGTTTAGCCGCCATTCGCGGCAGATTAGTTAGCTAAACCGAAATCATGAGCGATTTCGAGCTCTTCAAGCAAGGGCCGGCGATTGATTTCAAGGAGGTTGAACGAGCCTGGGAAACGAACAGAGAGGCTTTGATTAGGTGGGAATGTTTTACAAGGGAAAACAGCGCCAACGACATCAAGCATGGCATTGGGTGGGTGTGGGGCTAGCTGTAGCGCCAAGGATGGGTGTTGCGTTTCTTTCCTAGTTTATGCTCGGTTTGTAATCGTATGATCGGGTTTTCGTACGTTTCATATAGATTTCCGTGCGGTTCTGCATTTTTTGTTCAGCATTTCTCGTTGTCGGTGTGGCGCGGCGCGGTGTGGGCAGTAGAGGTTGGTGTGATCCATTCGCGCCTATAACGAGGTGTAATGGTCGCCACACCAAGACGGACAAAGATAAAACAAAGGCACCAATTATATCTCTAATTACCCTTCCACCAGATTTCCGTACAATTTTCCCTGGTTTCCAGGTAGAGTCGAATGGGGAAACCACGACCAAAGTGACGAGGCCTTTCGCTCCTAGATGGTGAGTTCGAGCATCCAACGAAAATGCTTGCCAGCGGGGAGGAAAACCTACCAGACCTACCCTTGAAATTGCTAGAGGTTGCCCGGACAAGGTAGTAAATGAGAGTGATAAACACAAACCTAAAATTCCTCCTGCCAACCGACAGGTCCTGTAAAGGGTACAGCCCGCTAGAGCAAGATCTGTCCAGTGTTAGAGGAACAAAAATACATCAAACGTGCTGAATGACAACCATGCTACTAAATCATCAACACCCAACCTTGCCTGGCCGGGGGGGGGGTATACATTGGCGGCAGTCTCTCAATTATACGATACATTTGTATCTGCTCTGTACAGTATCACAATAAGGTTGTACTTGCTCTGTACACTGCCAAGAAATCGCCATCATTCACTCATTATTTCCACAAAGTCCTCACTATTATCATCCTCACTATCGTCCCAATCAACCTCTATCTCCACAGTAGCCGCGTGCAGCTTATCCAATCCTGTTATCCTTTCTAAGTACGTGGGATCGTTAAACGCGTCCATAAGGAACGCAAAACCACGCTCCCTGTATGCTGAAACCACCTACATTTAGGAAAACAGGGCATATGGGAGCAGGAAAACGATGTGAAAAATACCTCCATATATACATATATAAGCATACATATCGAGATAAATTAATTCGCAATGCTTAATTCTCACTGTAGGGGAGCAGGCGGTGCACTGGTGGAAGGCGAAGCCAGTAATGGGCAGCTGAGAGAAGGAGGAGAGGAAGCCACGCAGCTGGTGGGGCAGCGGACCCAGAGGCGAGCAGAGATCGGCCGAGGAGGAGGAAGTGGAGGTGGAAGAAGGGAAGCCATCAGCAGTGGTGTCTTCTGGTGGTGCTGCGAATCTGAGTGTGGGGGCGGAAGGGGAGACATGGAAGTGGGAATGAGTCACCATTTGGGAGAAAGAGGAGAGGAAGCCACGCAGCTGGCGGGGTGGCGGACCCAGAGGCGAGCAGAGATAGGCCGAGGAGGAGGAAGTGGAGGAAGAAGGGAAGCCATCAGCAGTGGTGTCTTCTGCTGGTGCTGCGATTCTGAGTGGTGGTGGGGGGGGATTAGGGGAGACGGGTGGGAACAACAGTGGGAATGAGTAACCTTCTGGGAGAAGGAGGAGAGGAAGCCGCACAGCTGGTGGGGTAGCGGACCCAGAGGCGAGCAAAGATAGGCCGAGGAGTAGGAGGCAGAGGAAGAAATCCCATCAGCACTGGTGTCTTCTGGTGCTGCTGCGATTCTGAGTGTGGGGGCGGGAGGGGAGACAGGGAAGTGGGAATGAGTCACCATCTGGGAGAAAGAGGAGAAGAAGCCCCTCTATGGTTGCCAGGCCAGTACGCTGCTCCTTCAACCCCAGGCTGTCCCCCTATAACCTGCTACACGCAAGCCCAAGACCCGCCTAACAATGTGAACAACTCACCCCAGGAGATGGTGCAGCAGCCGCACTACCAGCTCCAATGCCAGAGCCCCCGCTATGCCTGCCAGCCCACTCACCTGTTCTTTCAAAACCAACCCAATACCCCAAACACTCTGACCCATTACAGCAAGCCCTTACCCCAGAAGATGGTGCAGCAGCCGCACTAACAGCTCCACTGCCAGAGCCCCCACCGTAGCCAGATAGCTCTGGTTTCCAAAAGAAACCCCCATACACGCTGGCACCTTACAAATTACAGGCAACACTTGCCCCAGGGGACCCACCAATATCTCCACTGCTAACAGAGCCCCCACATAGCCAGATAGCTCTGGTGCTCTAACCCCCCATACATGCTGGCACCTGACAAATTACATCCAACACTTACCCCAGGGAATGGTGCAGCAACCCCACCAATATCTCCACTGCCAGAGCCCCTGCTATGGTTGCCAGGCCACGCACCTGCTCCTCAAATCCCACCCATGCCCTACCTGTAGCCTGGTACGTTCAACTCACCCCAGGGGATGATGCAGCAGTCCCACCAATAGCTCCACTGCCAAAGCCCCCGCTATGGTTGCCAGGCCAGGGCGGGTGACTGTGCACTGCTGGTCTAGCGTGCGATGAGCCATGGACTGGTGGGGTGTAGGGGAAGGAAAGAGGTAGAGAATATGAGGAGTAGAGAAGATGGAAAGGAGCAGGTAAGATGGGGGGCAACATACACAGAGAAACAGCGAGAACCCCCTGTATGGTGTGGGGGAGAATGGTGGAGTGTGGTGGAGTGCGGTATAAGGGCAGGGAGGTCATGGGAAGCTGGTGGCACTGATGGGCAACAGCACAGAGGTTACGAGGGTAGGGGAGCTCACATGAGGGTAGGGGAGCTCACATGAGGGTAGGGGAGCTCACATTAGGGTAGGGGAGCTCACATGAGGGTAGGGGAGCTCACATGAGGGTAGGGGAGCTCACATGAGGGTAGGGGAGCTCACATGAGGGTAGGGGAGCTCACATGAGGGTAGGGGAGCTCACATGAGGGTAGGGGAGCTCACATGAGGGTAGGGGAGCTCACATGAGGGTAGGGGAGCTCACATGAGGGTAGGGGAGCTCACATGAGGGTAGGGGAGCTCACATGAGGGTAGGGGAGCTCACATGAGGGTAGGGGAGCTCACATGAGGGTAGGGGAGCTCACATTGAGAGGGGTAACAACATCGTTGCAGAAGTAGCAGCCAAGGCGCATGGATGGTCGTGTGTGGTGGAGTGTGCTGTAGTGTGGTGCAAAGGATACGAGGGAAGGGTAGCTCACATTGAGAGGAGCAACGACATCATTGCAGAAGTAGCAGCCGAGGCGCTTGGATGGCGCTGACTCAGACGCTGCTGGTGCTGACTCAGACGCTGCTGGTGCTGACTCAGACACTGCTGGTGCTGACTCAGATGCTGCTGATGCTGACTCAGACTCTGATGGTGCTGACTCAGACGCTGCTGGTGCTGACTCAGATGCCGCTGGTGCTGACGTGGCATGCGGAAGCAATGGTGGTGGTGCCCCGTGGCGCATGACAAGAAAGGAATCGAAACCGAGGGCAGCGTTGATGGCCACCTGCGAGTGAGGGGTGTGGCATGGTGGGGTGTGGCATGGTGGGGTGTGGCGTGGTGGGGTGTGGCGTGGTGGGGTGTGGCGTAGCACAGTAAGTAATGGTGGTATGGCATGGAAGGGAGTGCAGGTGCCCATGTGGTGCATGTCAAGAAAGGAGTTAAAGCCAAGAGCTGCATTGATGGTAACATGGGTGGGGAGTGGCATGGGAAGGATGGACGGAGTGGCAGCCCGCAGCTCTCCCTCAACCCCACTCACCTCAAAGCCTAAACCCTGAAAAACTTTAACCCTAAACCCGAACTCTCCTTCTCCCCTCACCTTCCCCTCGGCCGCGCATAGCAGGGTGGGCAGCCAGCGGCTCTCTCTTGTGTCGGTGAGGAGGAAGACGGTGTCTGATTGGCGGATGAGTGCCAGCAGGGCTGCCACGTCAGCCTGCACACGTGGCGCCTCGGAGGGCGACACGGGGTGACCTGGCATGGGAATGGCAAGGCGATGGCCTGACGTGCGCTGGAAGAAAAGGGTGGGGAGAGGGGGACGAGGGTGGAAATGGGGTATTGGAGGTGAGGTTTGGTTCGAGTCGAGGTTTCCCTCTGAGGGCACCACGGGGTGGCATGGCATGGGAATGGCGAGGCGATGGCCTGATGTGCGGTGGAAGATAGGCAGAAGGAAGGGGACGGGACGGGAGGGGAGAGGAGAGAGGTGGAAATGGGGTGTTGGAGGGGAGGTCTGGGTCGACTCAACATTCCCCTCGAAGGGCGACACGGGTTGACCTGGCATGGGAATGGCAAGGCGATGGCCACACCACACCACACCACAACACACCACACCACACCACACCACACCACACTCAGAGCAGAGGGGAGTATTTCCTTGAGTGCTTCTGCTGCCACCTGCGCCTTCAACACTCTGCCATTCAGACAGTGCCTATAAGAGCTTCGCCTAACTGGCTTTTAACATGAAAACCACACCACACCACACCACACCACACCACACCACACCACACCACACCACACCACACCACACCACACCACACTTACAGCTGTGGGGAGTATTTCCCTGAGTGCTTCTGCTGCCGCCTGTGCCTTTGGCACCCCACCATTCAGGCCGTGTGTAAGAGAGAAGAGGGCTTTGAACCACAGGTGCTTCATCACACACTCACAGCAGCGGGGAGAATCTCTTTAAGTGCTTCGGCTGCCGCCTGCGCCTTTGGAGCGCTGCCATGCAGGCAGTGCTTGAAAGAAAAGAGGTCTTTGAATCACAGCTGTTGACTCACACAACTTACAGCTGCGGGGAGTATTTCCTTGAGTGCTTCGGCTGCCGCCTGTGCCTTTGGCACGCCGCCATTCAAGCAGTGCTTGACAGTGAAGAGGCACTGCCGCACCGGGTTAGAATACGAAACCGCCCCGTAGTCCACGAGGGTAATGTCACGAATGCCCCATGCCTAGTGGTGGGTGAAAACCAGGGAAATGGTGGTATGGCATGGCAATCGGCAATGTGAATCGTGCTATGGGGGTTAATTTCTGCATTCAAAATCAAATCATTGAGGCCGAAAGGTGATCAAAGGAAAAGAAGACGTGTTTGCACAAAAAAAGCTGACAGCAAAATCACCAATTACCAGCAGCAAAGAAGGTGGCAAGAAAGCCAGTAGCAAGAGGAAGCAGCCTTACCAGCAGGGAGCGAGCAACTTGGCAACCAAGGTCATCAGCCCCTAACAGCATGCATTTCGTTTCCTTCAATCGTTCCAGCTGCAGCTGTGGCAGCACGCGCCACCTCAAGAGCTTCAGGTTGAGCGGCGATGTCCCACTGAAGAGAGACTTTGGAGGTGGGTGGGCCTTTGCTTACCAGCAGAGAGCGCGCCACTTGACATCCAAGCGTGCCGGCCCCTAGAAGCAAACACTTTGTTGCATTCAACCGCTCCAGCTGCAGCTGTGGCAGCACGCGCCACCTCATCAGCTTCAGGTTGAGAGACGCCGCCTCGTCTGCCAGCCTGGCAGGGTCCATCAGCGGTGCCAGGTCAGCGCACCGCGCCCCGGTTCGCCCCTTGGCGTTCAGCTCCCAGCCAGTGGCGGATGGACACGTGGCAGGTGCTGTGATTGGGTTCAGCCAATCAGCTGCAAGGGAGAAAAGAAAGCAACTCGTGATATTTCAAGATGCCTAGAGGAAGTGGCATGAGAAAATGGCATCTGGATGTGTTTGGGTGGTATGTGTACGGACGTGCCTGGGGGAGGTGGTATGTGTACGAACGTGCCTGGGGGAGGTGGTATGTGTACGGACGTGCCTGGGGGAGGTGGTATGTGTACGGACGTGCCTGGGGGAGGTGGTATGTGTATGGACGTGCCTGGGGGAGGTGGTATGTGTACGGACGTGCCTGGGGAGGTGGTAATTGTGTGGACGTGCCTGGGGGAGGTGGTATGTGTATGCACGTGCCTGGGGGAGGTGGTATCTGGACGTGCAGCAGCAGCGAGTGGTGCAGGCTGATCCGACCGTGTCGCTGCCGCAGGCAGAGCACATGAAGGGACGTGGCCTGAGAGGGGGAGGGGGAGGGGGAGAAAGGAGGGGAAAGGCACTGGGAGGGGTGCAGCTGTGACTGGTCACTGGAGCATGGTTAGAAGCGAGTTGTGCAGGCTGATCCGACCGTGGCGCTGCCGCAGGCAGAGCACATGGAGGGAGGTGGCCTGGGAGGAATAGAAAGGGACAAGACAAGGGAGGGGCGGGGAGGGTGGTGATGTGATGGAGGAGCGAGGATAAGGAAAAGCAAGAGAAACAGAGGAACACGCTCTGACCTGCCAGCGAAGAGAGGCGAGGAGAAGCAGGTTGCGGAGGGGCCAGCCGGGGGAGAGAGGCAGATGGCAGGGGTCGAAGAATGCAACGAGGAGAGATGGAGGAGCGGAGGGGGAAGAGGAAGAGAGGGATTCGCTTTGGGTTGCCAGTCGCTGGTACTCTGTTAACGGATGTGCTGTTACTGAGGGATGTGCGGAGCTGGTATTAGTGGTGCTGGTGTCTATTTGGAGAAGGAAGAAAGGGGCACCCTTCTCCGATAAGAGGGCTTCCGATGCAGTTTCTCCTACTACGGCTGCTGCTGCTGCTGCGCTGTCCGCTGTTCTTATTTCTCCACTTGCGCTCTCATTGCCTTTCTCTCCTTGTCTTCCCTCGTCCACTTCCCCATTCTCTGCTGCTTCGCCGTCCGTAACTGCCCTCTCGTTTCCGTCCTGTTTCCCTCCCTCGGGACTTTCAGCTTCGCCAGTCAACGCAGCTGCTTCCACTTCCCTTGGCCCCCTCCCACTCCCTTCTTGTCTCCATCGCTCACACTCCTTCTCGATAGCTTCTGCCTGTATGGTAGAAGGAATGGGAGGGGTGAAAGAGAAGTTTGACGGATGAACCTCCTTCGCGTCAAATCACTCTACATTCATTTAAGAGGAGTTTATTAGGAAATCGCTCCACTCTCTCAAATATTAAAAGCATGAGCTGGTTCGAGAAGTGGAGTGTATGGCTCAGGCAGAAGAGTCATGATGAGCACCCCAAAATAGAAGTGAGAAGGCCTGGGTTGCAGGCAGAGGGGGAAAAGCGAGGATGGCAGAGGAGGGGAGGGAGGAAGCCGGGAAAGCGAGAGGCGCGAACGCAAAGGTGCAGCAAAGTGAGTTGAGGCAAGAAAGGGAGTTACAGAATAGGGGCACTCACCAGTTCCGGAGAAAAGGCTTGCGTTGCAGGCAGAGGCAGGCCAGCAAGTGTGGCAGGGGCGGGGAGGGCGAGAGCAGGGAAGGCAAAGGCGTAGTGGAAGCGCCAATGCTTGATGTCTGGATAGACGAGGAGGAAGAATGCGTTGAGGAGAGATGGGTGCTTTTCTGCCTTGCCAGATAAAACGTCCTGCCAAAGCTGAGGAGATGTGGGTGGGGGGAGGGGGAGGACGAAGAGAGAAGGGGGGGAATTGGATGACATACGACAAAGGCCTGTAAAACGGATGTGGCAGAATAGAGAAATGCATGTGTTCTACAGGAAGGATGGTGCATTGCTCGACTGAAAAACAACTTGATACAGGATGACGCATGGATAACAGCAAGAGGACATTGAAAGATAGAATTTCTGCTTTGCAGGATAAATTCGCCTAACAGTTTCGTCCACAATTCACTCCTCTCCCCTCACTGGTGGTAGGATAACTGGAAGCTACGCATACACACACACTCATGATTCTCCCCTCACCTGCTGTGCCACTCCCTCCATCATCTTCCATCGGTCAAACGCCCGAAACGACTCCGCTACGATCACCGTTCTCCGCAAATCCATCTCACCTCCAACTATGCTCCGATCACACAGTCAGTTCATGCTCATCCCCTCACCTGCTGTGCCACTCCCTCCATCATCTTCCGTCAGTCAATCGCCCGAAACGACTCCACTGTGTTGGCAATCCGTAGCACCCCTGCCACGACGCTCCTGCCATCACTGGTAACCACACTCCTGCTCTCATTGCTGCTGCTGTTCGCAACATCTGTGCTGCTTGCGCTAGTGATGTGACCGGTGCTACTGACAGCGCTGCTGCTGCTGCTGCTGTTGCCAGCAGTGGCGATGACGTCAGCAGCAGCAGCGACCTCGGCAGTGGTGGTGACTTCAGCACTGGTGCTGTCCGAAGTATTGGTGGTACCATCCGGTTGAATGAGGTGGAAGCGAGGAGGTGGGGCAGGGGAAGGGGGGAAGGAGGCGGAGGAGAGGGAGAGGAAGGAGGGGAGCTGAGAGTGTGAGGATGGCGTGAAGAAACCTGTGAGTGAGGAAAAAGATTGGGAGAAAATAACACAGGTTGAAAAGGTTAAAAAAGGGGATAACCGAAGAATACATGAAGGGCGAAGGCTTATGCCGCTGAAAACACAGAACAGATAGAGTGAACCATGCTTCCTTGGTCCGAAATCAGCTATAAACTCTTCCTTCCCTTGACGAACAGCCGTTAATACCACGAATAAGATATACTAATTCAGCCTAATCTGTCGTTATTTTGCAGCCAGCGAATCGAATCTTCAGCCAGCGACACGCAGCCTACCATGGATTGCCACGTCTTCCTCTGTCAGGCCTTGCGAGTCGACCTTCAGCGACGCGAGCTTCTCCCAGAACGACACGTCAACGGAGCTCTGCCACGTGGCGAACTGCAGGATGGATGACGTGGCTTCAACCGCCATTCTGCGTTCTTACGGAACTCCTACAATCAATTTAATATCATAATTCACATGTGATGAGCTGTTCGCAGCCTAGGTGTGGCCTCAGAATCGTACAATCTACGGAAGAGTATAGTTTATTATCGCGAGCAGGAAGCCAAGCACACCACGGCTAGCAGCTAAAATAACATTAGACTGAATCGCAAGCGGCCTTCAAAATAGTTCACTGGAAGTGAGGAGCGACTGAGAATGGAGTGAGCAGAATTTGGCCCACCCGCGTTTGTAGTTGCTCATTATTGTGTTTCTCGGGTCGCTCGAAATCTAACTGTGGAAAGATTCGCCCAAGTATCTTGTTTTTCCCGTTATTCCCGTTCCCCCAAAACACCCCGCTAACGACTCAATACGTTTTCCGCACGTTCTTGACTTGACATATAGTCGAACCCGTCATTTTGAACAAGCCTTCGGATCTCCGAGGCAGTTCGCGTTAAGTCGCTTGTTGTAGCATTCCCTACCAATATTAGCCTGTGCTAATGGAAGTTCATAAGTTGCAAAACCTCAGAAATGCAGCAGATGCTATTAATGTGAAAACATGACATTGCTGAAACATGTTGCAATTTCATTGCATAGGCTGGGCGCACACTATATTTAAGCTCATAAACTGTACATAACATAATGTCGGAGCAAATTACAATCGTGGGACATGATCAAGTCCCATCGCCAATTTTTGAGGCGCCTAAAAAATCATAACATAATGTCGGTGCAAATTTCAATCGTGGGACATGACTAAGTCCCATCGCCATAGCCAGCCATCGTCATCACAGCTCATTATTATCCTGCAAGGGGGGGTGAGAAAAGGGGGATCAGGATCTATCTGCCGTGGTTCAGAAGAATACAACAAGCATATCTAGCATATACGTATATAAGGACGCATTGTGAAAGAAAACCAGACACATGCACGTTCAGGATACCGGAAAGGTGGCCCCTGAGGTTACCTGCCGTCGTGTGACACAGCTGTTTGTCTGATTTGCGTTTTACAGTCCTTTCTTGAAAGCCTGTTGGGAATTGGGACGAAAGAGGGGAAAAAAAAAAAACAAACAAACAGACATAAGACTATTCATGAAGGCAAAACCTTCACCGGCATTGGCAGGGTCATCAGCTGTAAACGCTTTGGAGAACGGCAAGAATAAAAAGACGAAAAGCAAAGAAGAAAGAATAGAAGCAAACCCATCTTCTGCATACAATACCATGCCACACCTACACGTGCCATGACATGCCGACACTGACACCAGTGCCATGTGCACGAAGAAATGGGTTCGAACCGCAGCAAGCGGAGTGGTCTCCTCAAAGTTCTTAACTAACAGCTAGGAGTACTAGGAGTGGGAAAAAAAGTAGATTCGGGACTTGTAAGTCCAACTTCAGTAAAGAACGTAGGCGTACGCGTTTCGGTCGTGAGGCCTTCGTCAGCGCCGTAGGCCACACCTACACGTGCCATGACATGCCGACACTGACACCAGTGCCATGTCATGTCACGCCCATCTCACTTACGTGCTGAGGAGAATAGGAGGGCTGGATTGCAGGTCGTACACATACACCTTGCCCACGCAATTGCCTGCGGCGGTGGTGGTGGTGGTGGTGGTGACGGGTGGGAATGGCAAGGTAACGGACGCATGGCATGGTGTCGCTACGAGCGAATGGGAGGATTTGATTGCAACACATCATCTTGCCACACAGTTGCCTGCGTTGGTGGTGGTGGGTGGGTGGCACGGTAACAAACGGATGCATGGCATGGTGTCATTAAGAGCGAATAGGAGGGTTGGATTGCAGGTCATACACATACACCTTGCCCACAAAATTGCCTACCATGAAGGCAAAGGGTGGCATGGCGATACATGACCATGACATGCCACAGTAATCAATTGCAATCACTGGTCTAATTATTGTACCAGGACAGGAATCTAGACACACAGGAAGAAAGACAAAAGAAGAAGAATAAAAAAACCTCTATTTTAAATATAAAAACTAAGGAAAGTTGGTAAGAAAGAAAAAAAAGCCACACCTATAACCAGAGAGGGTGATGACTGAACTAACTCAGAAATTATGGATAAGAGAGGAAAGCGTACCTATGGCCATAATATTGGCCATGTAGTCAAGATCGAACTTAATGAACCAGAACCCACAATCCGGCACTGGATAACGCTGCAAAATGTCCAAGGTTCCCTGATTTGCCACAAATGCGTATGGGTAACACAAAATGGAAACTTTCAATTACAGGGTAGAGATGCACATGCATGAATGACCGGATGGAATGGCATGCGGCTATGATTAACGGGGCAGTGGGATGCTTACAACAGCAAGGCAAGATGCTTACATCAGCATGACAAGACGCTCACCTCAGCAGTACAAGATGCTTACAACAGCAGAGGAAGATGCTTACAGCAGCAAGACATATGCTTACCTCAGCAGGGTGGGCGGAGCCGGGTTCAGTTCCGGGCTTGTGGCACCAGCGCCATAGGATGACCTCGTTGTCTACACTCTATATAAGATGAACGCACAGATATACATAAGCATAAGAATCCAATACACATTGAACAACTTCGGTGCTTGTGGCACAAGCGCCATAGGATGACCTCGTTGTCCACACTCTACAGATAAGATATGCACAGTGGGATAATGGAAGTTATATGTGAAGGCATAGAAAAACATCTGCATATTGGAAACGTCAGTGTAACAGGCTTGTGGCACCAGCGCCATAGAATGACCTCGTTGTCTACACTCTAAAATCAATGCGCTATCAGAGGAACATACCATAAGAGGAAACAAAAAATCGGAAGTAAGCATAGACACAGCACGGGGACAAAAAAAGGCGGAGCGGAGGTATAAGACTCCACAGGCAGTCACGCAGACAGTACACAGAGAAAATATTTATACATGCATATATACCACACTTCAATAATATATATATTAGAGGGATGTACCTTAGAGAGCACGAAGTCGCCATACCACCGCAGGCAGTCAATGTAGTTGGTGTGCACGTCACACACCACATACAGCTGGGTTGGGTGAGGTGGGAAACGGTGGGGCAGAGGGGGGAGAGGGGGGGGAAAGGGTTGAGCAAGGATGCATGAGAGGCAGTCAATGTAGTTGGTGTGTGCGTCACACACCACATATAGCTGGGTTGTGGGTGTGGGATAGGTGGTGGTGGGGGGGGTAAAGGGGAGGAGGGGCAGAAAGGGGCGAGGAGGGGCAGAAAGGGAAGAGGAGGGGCAGAAAGGGGCGAGGAGGGGCAGAAAGGGGCGAGGAGGGGCAGAAAGGGGCGAGGAGGGGCAGAAAGGGGCGAGGGGGGGCAGAAAGGGGCGAGGAGGGGCAGATAAGGGCGAGGAGGGGCAGAAAAGGGCGAGGAGGGGCAGAAAAGGGCGAGGAGGGGCAGAAAAGGGCGAGGAGGGGCAGAAAGGGGCGAAGTAAGGATAGGGGCGGCTGAGTAAAGACTAAAGAGAGTGTCGTGAATCCTCCTCTGCAAACTCTCATTCCCACTCTCCCGTGAATATTCAACTGATTACTCCTTCTCTCCTTCCCTCCCTGTCACCCGCACAGCTGACCAGATTCATCCCTTCTTCCTCCTGGTATACGTAATCACCCTGTCCTGCACTCCTCGTATCTCAGGCTTCCCATGCAACAAGTCTTATACTCCCTCGCAAGGGCTCAGTCAGATTGCTGTTAGCTTCTCCTACTGCTAGTTCCCTTCGGATTAGGAAAGCAAATTGCAGTAAACGAGAAACATAAAAGCAAAAAGCAAGAAGCCCGAGTGCTACTCCTGCCTACATCTATTCCCTCCCCCTGCCTAGGTTGCTTCCTCCACAAGCAAGCTCCTGTGCACCAAGCGAGTCAGCCGAGCTGCTCGCGAGGTCTCCAAGGTGCTAGCTGGGTTCCCACTGGGCCCACTAGGCATGCACCGCCTTCCAGCCTGGTGACTTCGAATTGAATTCCCAGGCTGGCATTGAATTCGCCTTCCAGCCTGGTGACTTCGAAATTGAATTCCCAGGCTGGAATTGAATTCGCCTCCACCAACCTCCTTGAATTCGCCTCCCACTAACCACCTCGAATTCCCCAACTACTCGGCTCTGCAGTACAGTACAATACACTCCAAGCACACAAATGAAATTAGAGTACAAAAGCGGTAAACTATAGTACACCCTCACCTTGGCTGCTGTGGTATTCACACTTAGTTGCCAGCTAAGTGTTAATAACGCGACAAGAGGCAGTCAATTATTGAGGCGCCTCAAAAGGCGGAGTAAAGAGTAAAGAGAGGCAGTCAATTAGAGTAAGGATAGGGGCATGGTCTTGACAAGTTTCGTCACAGTTGAGATTCAACTGTGACGAAACTCATCTATTAGAGTTTGAGGTCTTGACGCTACACTCCACGAACAGCTGCATGGGGTGAGGTGGGAAACAGTGGGGCAGGAGGGGGGAGAGGTGGGGGAACGGGTTGAGCAAGGAAGCATGAAAGAGAGGCAGTCAATGTAGTTGGTGTGCACGTCACACACCACGTAAAGCTTGAGTTGTGGGGTAGGAGAGGGTGAGGCGCAGCAGGAGGGAGCGAGGAGGGGCAGAAGGGTGCGAAGTGTGATTCGAATTTTAATTTACGAGGAATAAGAGGCAGTCAATATGATATGGTGTGCATGTTACACACCACTGGAGCTGGGTTGTGGCGAAGGAGAGGGGAAAGGGAGGAAAAGAGTTCGTGCTTGTTCATCCCTACGAAGCAACGAGGAATGAGAGGCAGTCAATATGATATGGTGTGCATGTTACACACCACTGAGGGGGGAAGAGTTCGTGCTTGTTCATCCCTACGAAGATGCAAGAGAGGCAGTTGTGGTTGGTGTGCAGTTGTGGTTGGTGTGCAGTTGTGGTTGGTGTGCAGTTGTGGTTGGTGTGCAGTTGTGGTTGGTGTGCAGTGCTGTCACACAAGCTGGGTTGTGGGGTGAAAGAGGGGGAGGGGGGCCAGGAGGCGGCGAGGTGCGGGGTGGAGTTACTGGTTGTTCGTTCTTGTGAGGCTTTGAGCAAGGATGCGCGAGAGAGGCAGGCAATGCTCTTGGTGTGCATGTTACCGACCATGTATCACTGGGTGGGTACAGACATATAGCACTGGGTGCTCAGGGTCAAGGCACCAAAAAGGTTGAAGAAAAAAGAGGGGACACTGCAGAAGAAGGCTCACCCCCTCACAGGGTACTGTACAGTCTTGGTAGGGAATCGAAGGCACTGAAAGGTGGTTCACAGAATCGCCTTGCAGCTCGTTTGATGCTTGAGGTAGCTCGGCAAAGGTGGCTCAAGAGAGAAGACTCACAGGGTACTGTAGAATTTTGGTGGGGAACTTGGATGGGACGTCTGCCCAGGTGTTGGACTGGTCTACCACGTGCCAGCACTCTGGTGAGGAGGAGGAAAAGGAGAGGAGACCAATGGAGGAAGACAGGGAGAGAGGGTGGAGAATTTACTGTGAGGATTTGATGGGACGTCTGCCCAGGTGTTAGAGTGGTCTACCACGTGCCCGCACTCTGGTGAGGAGGAGGAAAAGGAGAGTGAACAAGAAACAGAGGACAGGAGGACAAGAGGCGCGGAGGAGAGGAGGAGACGAGGAGGAGAGGAGGAGAGGAGAGGAGGAGCTGAGAAAGGGGGGGAGAGGAGGAGAGGATCTCTTGGCTGAGACAAAAGATCCACGTTTTGAACTGGTCCACCACATGCCAAGCACAGTGGAAGGGAGGAGAGCGAGCGAGCAAGAAACAGAGAGGATTTGAAAGGAGGAGAGAGGAGACGGATCTCTTGGGAGATGAGAGGTCTTTTATGTGGTGTGTATGCGTGTGCCAGTGTGTGTGTGTGTGTGTGTGTGTGTGTGTGTGTGTGTGTGAGTGCTTGTGAGTGTATGTGTGAGTGCGTTGGGTGAATGTGTGAGTGAGTGCGTGTGTGAGAGAATGTGTGTGAGAGAGCAAACCTTGCAGGCTCCACACACGGATGCTGCTGTCCATGCCACAGCTGGCGATGATTGCCTGGTCACCGGGATGGAAATCCTGCCACACGCAGCACAAGGGAGAGCGATACGGCATGGGAGAGAGTGTGCACGTGAGACAGTATGCAAGGGAGGTGGCATTTGAGTCGACTCAAAAGGAAGCTGGCGCTGATGACCTCGTCACCCGGATGGAAGTCCTGCGAGACACAGTATGCATGCAAGACATATTCTCTAAGACGCCTAAAAGATTAGCATGGAGATGATGGACTCGCTTGTGAGAAATCTCAAAAGTGATTTCAAATAAACATGGCAATGCCGGGCTTGTCACCGGGACCGGATGGAAGTCCTGCGACACACAGCATGCATGCATGACAAGACAAGACAGCACACAGCATTACGCAAGACATATTTTCTAGGACGCCTAGAACAATAGCACGGCGATGAGGGGCTTGTCACCGGGGCCGGATGGAAGCCCTGCGAGGCACACCAAGTGATGTGAGACAGCAGAGCATTATGCAAGACAGCATGACGGAAACACTAACATCTGCACTCTTGTCCCACTCACTCATAATCGCCACGCACATGCCCGTGTCTGCGTTCCACAGCCGTAGCGACTCGTCTTCTACTCTAGTGCGCCAGGTGTGCGTGTGTGCCCCGTACAGTACATGGTTAACTAGACTAATGAAAGTTACTGTACCGCGCTGAGCACTTCATTCCGGTGCCCGTCCGTGCCGCCCATGATGGCCACGCATACGCCCGTGTCCGTGTTCCACAGCCGCAGCGACTCGTCCTTTCCGGCTGAGAGCAGCAGCGCGGGGTGGGACGGATGCACCCTCACCTCGTTCACTGCGCCTCCGTGCCCAATGAAACTCTGAGGGAAGGGAAGAGTTGGGGGTAGGGTGTAGGGGGGAGACGGGGAGGAAGAATGAAGCAGACAAAGAATGATTGAAATGCATGCCTCTCTCGTCCTTCCTGGCTGAGAGCAGCAGCGCGGGGTGGGTGGGATGCACCCTAACCTCGTTCACCGCCACACCGTGGCCAATACAACTCTGGAAGTGGGGGAGAGGGGAGGGGAGAGGAGTATGGAGGGCAGGGGAAGGGGCGGGGAGCAGCTTCTGCCTGCCGATCTCTCTTCTCTCGTCCTTGCCGGCTGAGAGCAGCAGCGCGGGATGGGTCGGATGCACCCTCACCTCGTTCACTGCGCCTCCGTGCCCGATGAAACTTGAAGAGGGGGAATGGGAGGAGAGGAGGTGCGGGAGAGACGAAAAACGAAGAGCAGCTTATGCCTGTCCCTCTCTCTCTCTTCTCTCGTCCTTTTTGGCTGAGAGAAGCAGTGCGGGGTGGCACGGATGCACCCTCACCTCGTTCACTGCGCCTCCGTGCCCGATGAAGCTCTGACTGAATGGAGTGGGTGGGGGGAAAGGGATAGAGGCGCCTCAAATGCAGCCTGCGCATGTCTCCTTGCCGGTGCACATATGGGGTATGTCTCCTGCGCATGTCTCCTTGCCGGCCAGCAGAGAGAAGCAGTGCGGGGTGGCACGGATGCACCCTCACCTCGTTCACTGCTCCCCCATGGCCAATGAAACTCTGAAGGAAAGGAGGGTGTGTAGAGGGGTTTGAGTTCACATGAGCACATGCTCACACACACTCAGCTGCCCTTGTACGCACCAACATCAACTCGCCCACACACTCACTCACCCTCCCTCCCTCGATCACTCACCCACTCACCCACTCACTCACTACCTCACTCGCTCCCTCACTCACTCACTCACTCACTCATTTACTCATTCCCTCATACACTCATTTACTCATTCACTCGTTCACTCAATCACTCACTCACTCACTCCCTCACTCATTCACTCACTCAAATGCTCACTCACTCATCCACTCACTCACTCCCTCACTCACTCATTCACTCTCTCACTCACTCATTCACTCACGCATTCATTCAATCATTCATTCACTCACTCACTCACTCACTCACTCCCTCCCTCACCCATTCACTCATTCACTCACTCACTCACTCACTCACTCACACACTCACTCGTTCACCCACTCATTCACTCACTCAAATGCTCCCTCACTCATCCACTCACTCACTCCCTCACTCACTCACTCATTCTCTCCCTCACTCGCTCATTCACTCACTCATGCACTCATTCACTCACTCACTCACTCACTCACTCCCTCCTTCCCCTCCCTCACGCCCACACTCACTCACTCACATGGACAACTGTCTCTCGCCAGCAGTCAATGATCCGAATCACCCCGCTGCTGCCACTAGCTGCCAACAGCGGCCGCCCCTGCTGCCCCCTCATCCATGCCACTGTGTAAAACGACTCATCCTTCTGGTGATGGGGATGTGATGGCATGGCAGCACATGGATGCACATGGATGCACATGGATGGACATGGATGCACATGGATGGACATGAATGCACATGACGACACATGAGTGAGTGAGTACATTTGGGAGCACATGGTATGGCAGCACAGCATGGCAGCACGAGATGACACACGGCAACAGCACTCGCAACCTGTACAGAAATACACATGCATGGATGCATGCGTCTATGCAGTGCCACGTGCAGCGAGGTTGGTTTTGAGACGTCTCAAAACCAACCTCGCTTCACGTGGCTACAGAAATACCAACCTCGCTTCACGTGGCTACAGAAATACACATGCATGGATGCATGCGTCTATGCAGTGCAGGTATGGTATGGATGACCTTAGACATGCACACGGCATGGCGGTTTATGATGTGCACAAGCGTTTCAAGTGCACACATAACTGACATACCCCTACGCACTTGGAAGGAAGGAAGGCATCTGGCATGCGCAGCACATGTATAATGATAACTCCCGAAATGGAAATTATTCGCAAATGTCCCCTTACACTACATTTTCATCAAGGAATAGTTGCACGACGATGGTTGCGCCGCCAGACTCGCACTTGTACACTGTAACCTGCAATACAAGCACAATAATCAGGCACAATAATCAAGCATAATAATCGGGCACAATAATCAGGCACAATAATCAGGCACAATAATCAGGCACAGCAATCAAGCACAATAATCAGGCACAATAATCAAGCACAAAAACCAGGCACAATAATCAGGCACAATAATCAAGCACAAAAACCAGGCACAATAATCAGGCACACTAAATCAAGCACAACAATCAAACATAATAATCAAGCACAATAATCAGGCACCTCAGAGATCCTCTTACAAATATTGAAGGGAAAGAAATTTAGGTTGTGGGAAAGCTTGTGTTATGCATTGTACTCTCCATTCACGCACAAAAAGCAGCTCACAAGCAACTCCATCCCGGATCCAACACACAAGCCCATAAGTTAAATTCCAAATAGCATCTGCATACCCTGTTGCTAGACGCGCTAGCAAACAATCCGTGAGATGTCTCAAAAAGCAGCACACAAGCAACTTCCTCACATTCAATACACAAACCCGTTCGTTCACTTCCTGAATCGGATTCGCGTACCCTGTTGCCAGACACGTTCATTGTTGTACCCTAAACCCTGTGTCGTACCCTGTTGCCAGACACGTTCTTTGTTGTACCCTTAACCCTGTCTCGTACCCTGTTGCCAGACACGTTCTTTGTTGTACCCTAAACCCTGTCGTTAAAGTCGTACCCTGTTGCCTGAGACGCTAGCGAACATGTCGAGGTAGCGAGGATCGATGGTGTTGAAGCATCCCCCGAACACCGGCTTCCGGCCTTCACTGACCTGCACAAGAGGGTGATAATGAGGACGGGAGGATGCTTATAAAGGGGTTAACAGGAGCAAATGTCGAGGTAGCGAGGGTCAATGGTGTTGAAGCACCCCTCAAACACGGGCTTGCGGCCATCGCTAACCTGCACGTAAAGGTGTAAACGAATACCAGCATATTCGTATTCGTATTCGGTATTCGACAAATACCAAATAAAAAACGAATACGAAATCACTGCCTATTCGACTTTTATTCGATAACTGACTATTCGACATATTCGGTATTCGCCAGCCGAATATTCGGGTATTCGTATAAGTATTCGACTACTTCAATCGGTATGTACCTAGATTTCTGAAGGTGCGTTTCTTATGTTTCACTCATATCATCAGCAATGGAAGCACCGGCGGTGCTTACGGCCTATTAAGAACCCTGGCCCAAGGTTCTGTGTATGGTAAAAACCGTATTCGTATTTGACACAGATCCAGGTATTCGAACAGTATTCGTGAACCATCTATTTGAACCGTATTCGGATTCGGTAGAAGAGGGCTATTCGGCCAAATACGAAATTGCCTACTATTCGTAAAATATTCGTAAAATATTCGTATAAAAAACCGTATTCGAAACCGTATTCGTTTTTACACCTTTACCTGCACGGGAGGATGGTGATGAGTGGGACAATAGGAGCAGAACTAGTCAAGATAGAGAGGGTCAACGGCTCAATAACGTTGAAGCATCCCCCAAACACGAGCTTCCAGCCTTCGCTAACCTGCATGGGAGGGTGGTTATGAGGATGGAATAATGCTTATAAAGGGGACAGCAGGAACACATGTTGAGGGTGCGAGAAGGATCAACGGTGTTGAAGCATCCCCCCAAACACGGGCTTCCGGCCTCCACTGACCTGCACGGGTAGGTGATTATGTGACTTTTGAGTCGACTCAAAAGTCACCATGAAGCACACCCCCAAATACGAGCGTCCGGCCTCCACTGACCTGCACGGGTAGGTGATTATGTGGATGGGAACATGCAGCAAGGGTAGATGTTGTTGAACCATTCCCCACCCCAAACACGGGCTTTAAGCCTTTACTGACCTTTGTAAGTGAGGCGAGGGATGACAGGACAGAAAGACCAAGGAGACGAATGACTGGAGATCGTGATTTGTGACAGAAACGATAACCATCAACCATCATCGCATTCGCATTCACCTTCATAACGGCTTTGTACTCGCGTCGCTTTCCTCGCAACGCGGCGCCGCGATTCGGCCCTCCCGGCGCCATCCCGAAGTTATTACGCTCTACACTATGTCTTCTTAACCTCACCAAAACAGTATCGAGCCACGCTCTACACCGAGTACTTGGCGGGACACACGCGCACTGCCATCGAGAACCACAGCGATCCCACGAGTCCTACAGGAATGTTCGAAGACAATTGGTAAACCGAAGAGGAAAGTACCACGATCAATATTTACTCATATAAGAAAAATGCTTGCCAATCTAGAAGACTCAGAATCATTCTCCGCGCAGATGCTGCACGCCCGGCGCTCTCGTTAGAGCCCTCGGAATTGACGGCACGACTGAAATCGCTACTGCACGGTAAGCTCTCTTATTCTCAGGACACGCGACGCGCGAAACTAATCTAAAATCGACACTCGCGCATCTGATGGGATGTACAGGCCAGGATATGCTAGAGGACGGAGATAAAACAGCAGAGGCTTTTACAACTCCATCGATTCGTATGGTGCAGTACGACTCTCGGACGTATGGACTGTTACGATACGATACGGTACGGTGGAATGGGTTTCAACTTTCACCCAACTGGTGATCTTACATTGCTTCACGAAGGAATCACTACGCTGTTCACGATACCTCGCAAAAGAGTCACAAAGTTCGTTAACCTGTATGTAAAGCGGTCGACAACAAGCGAACTATCATTTGGTTACCAAATACAGGAAGGGAAAACCAAAAGCAGAGTTTCTGCATTCAATGTTTCTTCCACTTCAAAAACTGCTGGCTGCCAAGCATCTTTCGCGCCGCCCTTTGCGCGTAGTGGTGGTAGCGAGGAAACCCGTTGGTGTAGTTTCCCTTCTTCTACCGCGCTCTCGCTCTAGGTAAGACGACGCAGCCGTTGAACTGATTTAGTTCTTTGGTTATTATGGGAAGTGGACTGCTCGGTGCGTTAGGATGGTTTTTAGGGTTTCATTGACGAATGACACGTAGTTAACTGGCGACATCAAATTATACTCTCGTTCGAGTCTCGATTCAACTTCAAAGTCTTTCACTGTCCTCGCAAAATTCATAACCCCACCATCCTCGCACAACCTTTCCCGTGTGTCCTGTCCCCCTCCCTGCCCTTCTCACGCCCGGCTTCCCCTTTCGCTTTGCAAATCCGTCCCATTCCTCATCTCGCCTTTAACTCTCCCCTTATCGTTCTCCCCTTATCATTCTGCGTGTCTCCTCTCATTGGCCCCGCTCCAGGCACAGGAAGATCCAATCTGCATCCAATCCAAGATTCGCTCCATCAATAAAGCAGAGCAGCACTCACTCTTTCGTCCACGGAACCCACATTCAGCACTCCAGCAGTCCCGCCTTGCACACTACAGCTACACCGGCCAGTCCACAGCGCACACAAGTTGCCCAGCATGCTTTCATGCGGCCACGTGCCAATCACCCATCACTGCACACCCAGCAGAGTGCGCACACCTTCCTGCAGAGTGACAAGGAGCACCAGCCGTACACCTCCTCCTCCTGCTGCTGCTGTCTGCCGTGCTCCCTCGTGCTGCCAAACATCTTCTGCTGCTGTCTCGTCCTGGAGCAGCCATATCCGCATCAGCAGCAGCATAAGTTCTCGCAGTAGCTTAAGTCCTAGCAGCAGCAGCAGCAGCAGCAGCAGCAGCAGCAGCAGCAGCAGCAGCAGCAGCACGGGTCAACTCAAGGGCGGGCTTTCAGGGTGGGGATTTATGCCAGGGAGAAACTCAGGGCTGGAAGGCTCAGGGGCAAGGCGAGGGGTTGTTGCTCATGCCAGACGCAAGAGGGTGAGTTTTCATCCGTTTTCTTGTTTGCAGTAGCCTCCTAAGTCATAGCAGCAGGAAAATTCCTAGCAATAGTATGGGCCACAGCAGGGGTGGGCTATCAGGGTTGGGATGTGAGACGCCAAGGGGAAACCCGTGGATTGGAAGGCTCAGGGGCAAGGTGGGGAGTCGTTGCTCATGCAAGACGCAAGGGGGTGAGTTTTCAACATCACTTCATGTCTTCGCTTGAGCATAAGTCCTAGCAGCAGCAGCACGGGTCACAGCAGGGGCGGGTTGTCAGGGTTGGGATGTGAGGCGCGAAGGGGAAACCCAATGCCGGAAGGCGAGGGGCAAGGCAAGGGGTTGTTGCTCACGCCAGACGCACGAGGGTGAGTTTTTCAAAGTCAATTCATGTCTTCGCTAAGGGTGGAAGGCTCAAGGGCAAGGCAAGGGGTTGTTGCTCACGCCAGACGCACGAGGGTGAGTTTGAAACGCCATTCATATGAGCACCAGCACCAGCAGAAGTCCTAGTAGCACCAGCACGGGTCACAGCAGGGTCGGGCTGTCAGGGTTCGGATATGAGATGCCAATTGGGAACCCGTCGGTGGATGGCTCAGGGGCAAGGCGAGGGGTTGTTGCTCACGCCAGGGTGAGTTTTCAAAGTCATTTCATGTCTTCGCATTAGCAGCAGCAGCACAGGTCACAGCAGGAGCGGGCTGTCAGGGTTGGGATGTGAGACGGCAAGGGGAAACCCGTGAGTAGAACGCTCAGGGGCAGGGCCAGGGGTCATGCCAGACGCAAGGAAGTGAGCTTTCAACTGTTTCCTACTTTCGTTCCTGTGGCCTCTGCTGCTGGTTGCTTTCGGCTGCAGCCACTTTCGCAGCTAGTGTCCATGCATACTCGAATTTTGAGTCGACTCAAAAAGCGACTTATCAGCTGCAGTCACTTTCGCAGCTAGTGTCCATGCATACTAACTACTACCTGTGCAGATAGCACTGTCCCATAAGTGTGGACTGATATCCAGCCATGCATACTACCACCTCTGCTTGTGCTTCTCACTCTTTGTAGACCACCTGCTCTTCCTGTCTCGCCCTGTCCTATGGTTAAAGTGCATGGTTCAACCATGCACTATCAATATAAAGCTCACTGACATATGATCTCATGGGTTTTTCCCGGCTCTCCTCTGTCACCATCTCATCCCCTTTACAGAAGAACCCGCAACCAGATAAGCTCATGGATGGTATAGAACAACTAGTTGACGAGCATGACATTGAAAAAGTCGCGTCAGCCAATCAGCTCTCAGCTGATGATGTGGCAGCAGGGGAGCTGTCGCTGGACTGTAACCGCTTCCTGATTGGCCGCAGCATGATCAACGACCGAGTGAGCGACCATGAGGAGGGGATCACGTGGCTGCGGTCGGCCCCGCGCCTGCTGTGGGTGGCTCGGGAGAGGCGTGCCGAGGCTGATGCAGCTGAGAGGCAGAGGAGGCGGGAGAAGTAGGGAAGATGGACATAGGGTGGACACTTCCTTGCATGTTTGCTCTGAAATGGTACATTAAAAGAAGTGCTACAAGCATGCTGGATTTATAATGGTACAGAAAACAGGTCCTTTTCACGACTAAGTGAATGACCGTGAGGGAGGGATTACGTGGCTGCAATCGGCCTGGGCCCCTGCGCCTGCTGTGGGTGGCTCAGGAGAGGCGTGCTGCGGCTGACGCTGCAGACAGGCAGAGGAGACAGGAGAAGTAGGGAGGATGGGCAATAGGCGGACGCTACTTAGTACGGTATGTTTTATCAGTCGAATGAGACGTCAAAGACACGTTTTATCAGTCAAATGCAGGCGGTGTTGTGCCCCCCTACAGCAGTTGGCGCCTTTATATGAAGACCTTATGAGAATTGTAGGTTCATGTACAGAGTTACGACCTTAGGTGTGCAGTGTGGTGCAATGCTCAGTAGGCGAGGTCTTTATTCGTCAACTAGTGTCAACCATGAGGTGTCGAAGGGGACGAATGCTACCGAGGCAAGCGGCCGCGAATCATGGTTGAGCCACGAGCGGTGCGACTTCAAACAAACCTCCCATGCTGAACAATGCATTCCAGCCTCTCTGCCATTTGCTGATTTCAACCACTCTGGCATTCGCTGATTCCAGTCTCACGCCCATTCGCTGATTCCAGCGTTGCTGGCATTTGCAGCATCCAGACCGAAGATCCTGACTGCCGTGGGACATCAACGGACGTAAGTTTCGCGATCAGATGTCCGGAAATTAGGGCCTGTCCATAGTCGTTCCTCTGGCATGTCAAGTTCAACCTCGCCTCTACAGTACCCTTGTTCACAGAAGTCGAATGGTGCTTGCGGGCAGGTGAATAGTTCCACTGTACTTGATACTACTCAGCATACTCAAGATAACTGTACATCACTTTGTTGCGTGATACTTCGTTTGTGGGCAGAGCAGTGCCAAGTAGCATGGGGTGACTGTTTGTCTATCAAGGTGTGCAGCAAACTGTAGCAGGATGTTAAATTTCCGTTGAGTTTCGTTGACGGATGTCCTCGGAAGCTAACGCCTCCTTCTGACACGCCCTAAGCTGCGTCAGCCACACACAGCACAACACAGCACAGGCGCCGAGTCATCGTGACGCAATGTCTGTGCCACCGAGGCAGGAAATGAGGAACGAGCCGCGTTGGAAAAACAAACCCCTGCCCTATCTCATGGGACTATCACTGTAGTGAATTGGTTGGGCGACAACCCAGCGGCATCAGCGGAGATTAGGAAAAGCTAGTGAGGGTGGGTCCAAGAATGTACATATTTCGCAGAAAACCCTACCCAACCATCTCGTTTTTCAAATAAACAGCTCTAGCTCGGCTCCAAACCTTTTACAACCGCATTCGGACGTACTCTCTGGACACGCCCAAAGGACCAAAACCCTTGTTTCTTCCGAAGATGCTCTACATACAAGCAGGCGACTTAAGGTCCAAACTCCGCGTAGAAAGTAGAAGCTGAGACAAAGCTGCCAGCATTGCGCCTACGTTGAGATATTTCGCCGACTTGGTCCCTCTGTTTAACGTTTTCTCCCTAAGTTATAGTGTGCACGTACAACAAGTTATCCAAGCCGGTCACGCAACTACTTACGATAATGAATACCGGCAGATTACCAAGTAAACTGGCTGTCCCCGCGACGGCCGTGATCGTTACTCTCCTGGGACTCGTTATGATCATGCCTGTGCGGCCGTGCTCTGCGGTCCATCATGTAGCACAACCAGGTATATAGCCCCCCCCGGGCACGTCAACCTCCGCCCTTATCGTCTGTGCCATCAGAGCTCAGACCAGCTAACTCTGCTCTTTCCCCCCTGCTTTCCCCCTCCCACTTTTCATAACAGCAGTCGGAAGCCCCTTTTCTTTATTGGCAATACATCGTGCATTCATCAGTTCAGACTCACAACTAACTCCCTGCTCTGTCACTAGCAGCCACTGCTCTTTCCTCCCCTTATCTCTCCCCCTTTCCTCCCCACCTCTATATTCGGAAGATCCAACACGAAGGAAATACATTCGTGCCAATGGGATTAGACCCTAACTCCCTGCTCTTTCTTCCCTGATTTTCTCTCCCCCCCTCCGCCCCACCCCTTGCTTTCCTCCCTGCTTTTCATAGTCGGAAGGCCCATCACGAAGCAGTACATGGTGCATCTATCGTCGGTGCCGTCAGTGCTGTCGTACCAGGGGGGAGTCAACGGGCTGCGGGCCACAGCGACCGTCGACGATGAGGACGACGAGTATGAGGACGAGGAAGACGTGGATGACTTGGATTATGAGAATCTCGTGGATGGAGATGCTATTGGTGATGGCAATGGTGGCATGGGTGGAAGCGGTGTCAATGCCACTGCACCAGGATCAGCACCAGAAGCAGAAGCAGGGGCAGCAGCAGCAGTGGCAGAATCAGAAGTGAAACTGACAACGTCTGAATCTGGTGACGATGGCTTCGATGCCGATATTCACTTTGCAAGTGCGGCTGCTGCAGAGGCGGCAATGGAGATGGCAGGAGTGGTAACAGGTGCAGGAGCAGCTGCAGGAAAGGAGGGGATTGCAGGGGTAGCAGCAACGGCTGTAGCAGGAGGAAGAGGGGTGGGAGGAGGAAGCAGAGGAGGAGCAGTGAGGGTGAGCGCACTGCCGTTTGGGCGAACCGGGGTGGATGCGCTGGTGGAGAGGGTGGGTCAGCGGCTGAGAAGGATGAAATCGCGGTCTGTTGGCCGGCGCCTGCTGGCCCGCGTTGCTGCTGCTGCAGTGGCCGCAGCAGCAGAGGAGGCCGCAGAGGAAGCAACAGGAGCAGCAGCTGGTGCTGCTGCCGGTGCTGCTTCTGTCACAGAGTCATTCCAGAACTCCTCCCTTTACCCTTCAGCTGTTTCTACTACTACTGTCAACGCCGTTCATAGCACGTCAGCAGCAGTGCTGACGGTGCAGCAGCTGAGTGCACGTGCCGCGCGCATCATGCGCTCAACGCCGTGGGGCCGACTCATGCGCCCCGACGTGCGGTTACCACACGTCCAGGCCTTCACCCGCTTCCTGGAAGCTTCTCACCGCAGCCTGCTGCAGTCGCTCAAGATCCCTTCCTCAGCCATTTTCCACAGGTGAGGAAGAGGGGAAGGGTATAGGGAGGTGGCGGAGGGTAGGCGGGAAGGAGGGGGAAGAGGGGTAAGTTGGGGGGCGGTATGTATGTGTGGAGGAAGGGGAAAGGGGGGGAGGGGTAGTGTGGTTGGAGAGCGGGGGTCTATTTGAGTTTCAGAGGTGGAAGTGGATAAATTGGTCCAATCAAACGATTTTTCCGGGCTTTAACCTCGGTCGTTTACCACAGGTGGATTTGGGGACCAGGGTTTACCATTCAAACCGGCGGTCATGCCTTATTTACCCCCTTCCATCACCTGCTTCCCGCCCACCTTTCCCCCTTCCACCCTCTCCCATTTCCACCCTCTCCCTCTTTCTACCCCTCAGCTACACATATCTGATGAACAGCTTTGCAGCGCAACTGACTGCTTCTGAAGCAAGGCGACTCAAATTGCACCCAGCAGTGGCAGAGGTGGAGAGAGACAGGTAGTGGAAGTGGCCTCGGTGCACTCCCCTGAGTTCCTCAAGCTCGACTCGAGCCTGTGGCCGGCGAATGGCGGGCAGAGCAACGCTGGAGAGGGAGTGATCATCGGAGTGATCGACTCGGGGATCTGGCCCGAACACCCCTCCTTTTCTGACCTTGTGAGTGCGCCGAGTAACATGGTAATCGAGGTTTGGACGAGCAACGTTGGAGAGGGAATGAGTATCAGAATAATTGACCCAGGGATCTGGCCTGAACGCCCCTCCTTTTTTGACATTGTAAACCCGAATGTTCCCTGCTTCTTGACCCTGTAAGCCCGAAGATTGTCCTTGGTCTCAAACCAACAGTTTGAGGATTTCCAACCGTTCCAAGCCATCCTCTCCTCTCCTCCTCTCCTCCTCTCCTCTTCTCCTCTCCTCCTCTCCTCTCCTGTCCTCCTCTCTTCTCCTCCTCTTCTCCTCTCCTCTTTTCCTGTCCTCCTCTCCTCTTCTCCTCCTTCTCCTCCTCTCTGTGGAGAGTCACTCTACAACGGATAGGCTGGACTAAGTGGGAAGGCACGGGGTTGTACACGTGATCGCTGCGTTCCTTGTGTTCTCTCTACCTGCTTGTTCACGGGGCAAAACGGCAAAAGTTTCACAAAAAAATGAGAACAATAATGATGCACAGTGGTAATGGCAAATAGATTACATCAGAAGCCTAGCAAACAAGCAAGTCGACCCCCAGCGCAGATCGGCGGCCTGTCAGCGCAGCTGGGAGGAGGCTTGCCAATGCTACAGGATGGCGACCTACCAGTGTTGCACCGGCGGCTTGCCAACGCTGCAGCACGGCGGCATGCAAGCGTTGCAACTGCAGGTGCCCATGTGCGCATGTGTACACCTGCCCATTAGGTGCAGGTCGACGGTTAAGCACGTCGTGCACCTTCACGCACATTGCGCAGGTGCCAAGTTGGCCACGTGCCGACGGCTGCTCCCAGGTGTGCCATGTCGACCTCGTGATGCCACCACGCAAGTCGACTTCGCCAAAACCTCTTGGACGATGCTCGCGCACCGCCGCAGAACGTCATCGACAAGGTAACCGTGTCGACCAGATGATGCCCTGGGCGCCTACAAGTCGGCGCCCGCGACAAACTCCTTCGTCCACCGCCTAGGTCGAAGCCGCCCGCCGACTTCACCTCGTCGGCGACATTGTAGTGGTCCCGTGGAAGTCGACCAAGTCTGTCGACTTCTGCCCAAAAGTCGGCGTCGACAACTGACAGCAACCGGCTGCACCTCCAGCACACTCGACTGCGAAGTCGGCTTCACCCAAGTGAGGTCGGGCTAATTTTCTGTCAACACTCTCCTCCTCTCCTCCTCCATTCCTCTTCCCCCAGGACACAAGCGGAGTGTCTTAATCCACTGCCCGGGTCCCTGACGCCCGCACCTCCCCTCCTCTCCTCCTCTTCCCCCAGGACACAAGCGGAGTGTCTTACTCCACTGCCCCGGTGCGCTGGAGAGGCGTGTGCAGCACAACAGACGACTTCACTGCGTGCAGCCGCAAGGTGGTTGGAGCGAGGTATTTTCTCAAGGGTGCGGAGCGGGCGTTTGGCCAGGTGAACACCATAGTCAATTACCGGTCGCCACGGGACATGCTGCAGCACAGCACGTGGTGCGCGGGGTGAGTAAGTGAGGCATGCTCTTCTTTTCCCCTCCGAGACATGCTCTTCTTTTCCCCTCCGAGACATGCTCTTCTTTTCCCCTCCTAGACACGCTCGCCATGCAGGACATACTGCACATGCTGCAGGACGGCACGAGGTATGCGAGGTGAGTGGACCAGTCATGTGCAGCACGGCAGAGGCGTGCTTTGGTTCGAATGCTGCTTGGTGTGAACGTGATGTGGTGTAGGCATGGTGTGGTGTGAGTGAGCATGGTATGGTGTAAGCATGTTTTGGTGCAAGTGCTGCTTGGTGTGAGTGAAGTGACAGCCGGAGTCACACCGTCTTGCATGGCACGACTGTCATATCATGGAAATACCCTACCTACTCCCCACCCCCCCCTTCCCTCTTCTCCCCCCTCTTCGGGGCTGCTGCGGCAAACGCTGGTGTGGCAAAGCAAAGGCCATGCCGTGAGTGTCACAAGGTCAGACTGACGGCACAGGAAAGGGCATGGCATGCGTGTTACAGAAATGCCACACCTACCTACTCCCCACAACTCCCCTCCCTCCTCCTTCCCCTTCAGAGCTGCTGCTGGAAACGCAGGTGTGGAGGTGACAGTGGGAGGCCGGACCTTTGGCACAGCCTCAGGCATGGCACCGAGGGCCAGGCTGGCGGTATACAAGGCGCTGTGGATGTATGGTCATTGGTATACGGTGAAGGGACAAGGAGCGACTTCTGACCTCATAGCCGCTGCAGAGAAGGCGGTGGCTGATGGAGTGGACGTGATCTCGTGCTCGTGGGGCGGCCTTGCCCTGTACTTCCAAGACTTGCCGTACCTGCGAGGGCTTAAGGTGAGAGTCTAGGGCTACATAGATGCATTGGCAGCAGCCTTGGTAACAACCTTGGCAGCACCTTTGGCAGCACCTGCATTTGCAAGGCTTTGATGCCTCCCAATCTACCAGGCTGGATGATCATAACCCATCAGGAGTCTCATGCCTCCCATTCTCACCATCCAATTCTCACCCTCTCCCTTTCTGACCCTCCATATCTCACCCTCCCATTCTCACCCTCCCATTCCCACCCTGCCATTCTCACCCGCCCACTCTCACCCTCCCATTCTCACCCTTTCATTCTCACCCTCCTATTCTCGCCCTCCAATTCTGACCCTCCCATTCACACCCTCCGATTCACACCCTCCCATTCACACCCTCCCATTCACACCCTCCCATTCACACCCTCCCATTCACACCCTCCCATTCACACCCTCCCATTCACACCCTCCCATTCACACCCTCCCATTCACACCCTCCCATTCACACCCTCCCATTCACACCCTCCCATTCACACCCTCCCATTCACACCCTCCCATTCACACCCTCCCATTCACACCCTCCCATTCACACCCTCCCATTCACACCCTCCCATTCACACCCTCCCATTCACACCCTCCCATTCACACCCTCCCATTCACACCCTCCCATTCACACCCTCCCATTCACACCCTCCCATTCACACCCTCCCATTCACACCCTCCCATTCACACCCTCCCATTCACACCCTCCCATTCACACCCTCCCATTCACACCCTCCCATTCACACCCTCCCATTCACACCCTCCCATTCACACCCTCCCATTCACACCCTCCCATTCTCACCCTCCCATTCACACCCTCCCATTCTCACCCTCCCATTCACACCCTCCCATTCACACCCTCCCATTCACACCCTCCCATTCACACCCTCCCATTCACACCCTCCCATTCACACCCTCCCATTCACACCCTCCCATTCACACCCTCCCATTCACACCCTCCCATTCACACCCTCCCATTCACACCCTCCCATTCACACCCTCCCATTCACACCCTCCCATTCACACCCTCCCATTCACACCCTCCCATTCTCACCCTCCCATTCACACCCTCCCATTCTCACCCTCCCATTCTCACCTGCCCAACTTCCAGGCCGGGGTGGTCACAGCCTTTGCAGCCGGGAATGCGGGCGGGCCCAACCTCCTATTCTCACCCTCCGATTCTGAATCTCCCATTCGCACCCTCCCGTTCTCACCCTCCCATTCCCATCCTTACTTCCTATATGGAGTCCGGGGCACTCCTTTTGCCTCCTTCTCTCACCCTCCCATCCTCACCCTTCTTTTCCTCACCTGTTCAACTTCCAGGCCGGGGTGGTCACAGCCTTTGCAGCCGGAAATAAGGGCCGGCCCAACCTCCTATATGGAGTCCGGGGCACTCCTTTTGCCTCCTTCTCTCACCCTCCCATCCTCACCCTTCTTTTCCTCACCTGTTCAACTTCCAGGCCGGGGTGGTCACGGCCTTTGCAGCCGGAAATAAGGGCCGGCCCAAGCGCATGAACATGCAGGGCGCGCTTTCTAATGCTTCCCCCTTCTACCTCACAGTGGGAGCAAGGTACGGCTGGAGTGGGGGGCAAGGTGGGGAAGGCGTGTTGAGGGAGGATGATGGTAACGAGGGTTGGACCAACCCCCAGGGGTTCCCCACCAATCCTTGTGGGGAACTCTTTTTAGTGCCTCTCCTTATACCTCACAGTGGGAGCTAGGTGCAGTTGGAGTGTGGGGGAGGTAACGGGAGGAGGGGAGGGAGAGGCGTGGGGGGGGGGGGGGGGGTGGGGGGAGTAAGAAGGGGAGCATGCAGGGCACTCTTTCGAATGCGTCTCCCTTCTATCTCACAGTGGGTGCAAGGTTCGGTTGGAGTGAGGTGGAACCACCTTCACAGCACGCAGTTAGAACATGGAGTAAAATCAGCACAACAACCTCTCACCCCCACTCTTCGTCTCCATTTTCCTCACCCCCACTCTTCACATTCCCCACCCACCATTCCCAACCCCCCACTGCTTTTTCTTTCAGCACCATGGGGAGGGAGTACACGGCTGTGCCCACCCTGGGCGATGGAACCACCTTCCTCTCAACCTTCCCCTTCCCCCTGACCGCCTACCAATGCTCCCCCTCAGCACCATGGGGTGGGCGTGGGAGTACACGGGGGTGCTCAACCCGGGAAGTGGCTCGAGCCTCCCTCCTCCCCTTATCAAACTCCCCATCCACCCCCACCGCGCACCACTGCTCCCCACTGCAGCACCATGGGGAGAGAGTACACGGCGGTGCTGACTCTGGTCGATGGAACCACCTTCACAGGGCGCAGTTTCGGCGGCACCGCTGCCCTGTGGTACAATGTTTGTGCTCATCTTCAAAGGGCCCAGTCAGAGGATTCATTGGGACCAACCCACGTTTCGTCTCACTTCCCCTCAAGCCCCAACCCCCCCCCCTCTCCCCTGTACCACCATTTCTTCCCAACTCAGCACAACGGTTGTTCTCACCCAGGGAAATGGAACCACTTTCCTCTCCACCTCCCCATCCACTCCCACCGCCCACCACCGCTCCCTGCTGCTTCCCACCACAGCACCATGGGGCGGGATCACACGGCAGTGCTCACCCTGGGCAATGGAAACACCTTAACAGGACGCAGCTGCGTCGGCACCGCTGTTACGGCGTCACCTCTGCCCCTCAACCCACCATTTCTCCCACCGCAGCACCATGGGGCAGGAGTACAAAGCGGTGCTCACCCTGGGCAATGGAACCACCTACCTCTCCACCTGCCCATCCACCCCCACCGCCCACCACTGCTCCCCACTCCTCCCCACCGCAGCACCATGGGGCGGGATTGCACAGTGGTGCTCACCCTGGGCAATGGAACCACCTTCACAGGGCGCAGCTTTGGCAGCACCGCTGCCACGGCGTCACCTCTGCCCCTCAAACCCCCCCTCTCCCCTCCCACCCACCGCTGCTCCCACCACAGCACCATGGGGCGGGAGTACAAAGCTGTGCTCACCCTGGGCGATGGAACCACTTTTCTCTCCACCTGCCCATCCAGCCCCACCGCCCACCACCGCTCCCCACCGCTCCCCACTCCAGCACCATGGGGCGGGATTACACAGCAGTGCTCACCCTGGGCAATGGAACCACCTTCACAGGGCGCAGCCTCGGCGGCAACTTTGCCACGGCGACACCTCTGCCCCTCATGCTCGCTGGGGATTACACCACTGTGGGCCTCCCAGACGATGTGAGCCTGAAGGGGTTTTGAGACACATCCTAGGACCTAGCCCCATGTACATTGCTCAGTTGGCACTGTCTATGTTTGAGGCATCTGAAATGCGGGTGATGTGAGCTTGAAGGGGGGTTGAGATGCATCCTCGCCCCACTTATATGGCCGAACAGGCTGTTTTTCTTGCGAAGAGAAGGGCGCGCGGAACTTTAAGGGGTTTTCAGAACCCATCCAGTCATATCTCAGGGTTTTTTTATGTGCTTTCTGCCTAGTCGAAAGGCTCAGCTTGCTATGGCTTCTGGCAGGTACAAAAGCGAGGTGAAGCCGAAGGAGTATCTTGGCCCAGTCTACAAAACTGAGTCTGCTGTGTGTTTTGCTGGGGAGAAGGGCGAGGTGAACTTTAAGGGGACAAGGTCAATCACAGGTTAAGCCATGGATAAGGCATGTTTCCAACCTGTGCTGGTCTAATCGGTGGCACCACACCGACACGCTGTCAGCTCTGCCCATTTGTGACTTTTGAGTCGACTCAAAAGAGGTGACTTTTGATTCGACTCAAAAGTCACCAAGTCACCTCATTTGTGAATTTTGAGTCGACTCAAACGTCTAATTGGTGCTACAACATGGCCCTACCGTGCTGCACCATGAACTCAAGTCGCGGGAAAACTACTCGTGTACACCATGCAGGCTTTAGAGTCGACTCAAGAGTCACCGTGCCTTTTCCACCTCCCTTTCCCGCCACCCCACCAGGCCTACCAGTACTAAAGGGGGTATTTATATGCCACTCAAGTCGAGTTATCTTTTGAGTCGACTCAAAGTCAACCCACCGTGCCTTCACCTCCTTTCCCCCCACCAGGCCTACCAATGCTACAGAGGGTATGTAGATGTCACCCGAGTCGCCGGGAAGTTCCTCGTGTGCTCCCTGTTCGATCGCACCCTATCGGAGATCGTTGCAGACGTGGACAGGATGGGAGCGGCTGCTGTACTCGTTTTAAACACAACGGTGACGCGCGAAACGCAGTACAACATCCCGTTCTCAAGGACCCTGATCATCTTCTAAGAAGAAAGGCATTTGTGGACCATTGAGGATTACATCAGAGCTGCAAGCAGGTGAGGACCTATTTCTCGTTTTAAACGGGACAACAAAGCGCAAAACGCAGCACCACATCCCGACAATGTGAGTCGCATCCCTTCTCAAGAAACCCGACCACCTTGATAGTTTTGATGCATTTGTGGACCATTAAAAGACATATCAGCGTCGAAACCAGGTGTGGACCTATTTTTCTCTTGCGTTTGGTGTTGCTCCAAGTGCCCTTTTCCAAAACACTTCATCGGCCTTACATCTTCATCAAGCACTCGCCTCTTGTAATATTCCTTCTATTCAAACCCCACCTACAAACCCACCCCACCTATCTCCCCCCCAACTCTCCAATCTTCCTCCTCTCTTCCCTCCTCACTTCCCTCCTATCTTCCCTCCTCTCTGTCGCCCTCTCTTTCCTCCTATTTTCTCCTCTTAGTCCTCCTCTCCACTTCTCCACTCCCACCATACACCGCCTCCTGTTTGACAAACTCTCACTCCCTTCCCACAACCACTTGTTCCTTGCCCCTTCCGCGCATGGGTAAGGCGCATCCGATTCTACCCTGGAACCTCAACCGCGCCTCAATAGCGGTAACTCGACTGCACGGCGTTACAGTAGTGTACCGCCGAATGAAGAATGTCTACAACTTACCATCTACGTATAGCGTGAAAGTGGTCCCTCCGCCTGGATTTTCCGTGAGAGTTTGGCCCAGGAAGATCACCATTTTTCCCGGAAAGATGAGGGGTTTTAAGGTCACAGTTACCAGGTTCTTGCCTTTAGATGCATTTAGGTTTGGAACAATCATATGGACTGACCAATATGGGCATTCTGTGCCGGTGCAGCTCGTGGTTAGGTCTCCCATTTTGCCTTGATTGTCATCATAATGGCACAATTATAGCGTTAGTGGCATGTCTCAGGCGAAATAAAAGGCCAGTGGAGATGTCAATGATATACCGTATAAGTCTAACTGCATTGCAAGGTTTCAAGGTAATGGAAAGCTTAGAAGCACCAACCAGTAAAATAGAGTAAAGAAACAGGAAGATATATGAATCCCAACAATAGATGTGCGTTGAGACAATTCATACCGTACTAAGATGTTAACACACACGGGTGATAATCCCAGCAATATTGGATTTGGGAGGTGCTAACACCAATCCAATCCAAAAATGCTCTACATTATTATATCATAGAGGTGAAGTACTAAAACCAAATATCTTGATCAAAATACCACCTCTCTAACGAGGGAAACATTTGGCTATTTTGGTTTTCTCTCACATGCCAATGTGCTCAAGGTTCTCTCTCAAGTGGGTGGGTTGTCAGTAGAGCTACACTGTGAGATCCCCGATCGATCCTAGGGGGGGTTACAGGCGCGTTTGCCTGGGAGGTTATGGGCGCACTGACCCGCTACTGAAACAAGCCCTTTTATCCCAATGGTCTAGTGATTGGGATTCTGACATGGGTGACATCCGGAAGGTGAGAATGCACTGAGTAGATTGCAACCTCATATCTGCGAGCTGCTTTCTAGACAAGTGCTAAGCCACGTTAAAGCCAGCAGCTAAAATAGTGACCCCCCCCCCTTCTAGTGGGTCCACTTGAAAACACAAACTAACCTTGTAAAGGTTCAGATGGTCGAAGTGTTGTTCTGTTTTGTTTTTCAGACGCGTTCAAGTCTTCACACTAAAAAAAAAAAAAAAAAAAAAAAAAAAAAACGTCGCAACCATGTGTCGCATCGTTGTGGAAATCCCAATCACATGGAATGGTGGGGTGTTGAGAGATGGGAGGGGAGAAACGAAGGGCGACTTGCAGGCATTTCGAGGCAGGCGCGAAAGCGCCGAGGTGGGGGACGGGAGGGGAGAGAGGAAAGGCGACGACTGCATGCTGGGGGATCTGCGCTTGCACAACGTCATCACGGCAGTGATCCCCGGCGGGTGCACGCCTCCGCTGCAATCGCGCATTTGAAACGGGGTTGTGCTAGTCTATGGAGACTGGTTTGCGAAGTATGGCACCAACACCTTCAGACCTGCAGTTTCCTGGAGGTCTACCCGCTCGTCTTCTGTTCTCAGCTCTAGTTGTGAGGCTGAGATCTATGCGGGGGCCATGGCTGCACAGGAGTTACGCTGGCTGACCTACCTGCTGATTGACGCGGGTGAGCGGCCTCGTTCTCCTCCAGTCCTGTACGTTGACAAGAAGGCCATGATTGCCTTGTGTCAAGAGCAGAGACTGGAGCACAAAATAAAGCACATTGCTCTTCGTTACTTCCTTGCTCGATAGCTACAGCAGCATGGTCAGCTCTGCCTTGCCTACGTGGCCTCCTGGGCCAACACTGCTGATATTTTCACCAAAGCACTTGTGTATGGTGATCATCAGCGTTTTTGCACTGCTCTAGGCCTTGTGCCTAATTTGCATCACTTGCTTATTGCTTGACTTTGCCTTGTACTGTGTCCTATATATCTATACCCGCATTCGTACTCTTGTTAGGTTGTGATCATTGTACTACTTGTGCTTTTACAACTCTGCATGTGAACTGGCATTGTGGCCACTTGCTCGTGCTCATACTGCATGGTGATCTTGAGATTCACCCTGAGCTTTGTTTTGTTTGCTTCTCTTGATTGGTCTTGTGACCATTTGCTTGTCCTGGTTGTTTTGATGCCTCTCACTTAGGCTATGGGGGTGTGTCAAATATATATCATATTTCTTAGTTAGCATAGAGTGACATGCATCTTATAGGGTACAACTTTTCTCTAAGCATTCTAGTTGTACTCCCCCTTGACCTAATCATACCATCCTTCTTTAGTATTCTAACATCCGGGTCTGTGACGAATAGTAAATTAAGAAGCTACACTATGTTTTATAACATGTAGCAAGAACGGAGAACACAGAAGGCGAAAGGTCGAAGTGACACGAACAGTTGGAAAGCATCTGGACCGTCGGAGTAGACAACATCGGGCAGCTGCAGGAGTGAGGAAAAGGGCGGGAATAGTTTTGTAACTATACGCGCCGTGTGGTTGGGTCTGAATTTGAATAAGGGAATGTACCCCTTAAAGTACATGGCTAGCTAGGACGTTTGGTATTGCCCTTGTACTGATACCACTGAAATGCAAGCCAACCTGGCTGCGACAAACGAGGAGACGACGACTATCGGCACAGACGCCCTCGCACAACTACTTCAGCGACTCTCAACTCTGAAGCAAAGCGTCCAGACATTGCGGAATGGCGACGCGGGAACATCTTCCCAACCCTCACAACCGGCCTTAAATGGCCGCAATACCGCCCCGCACACCTTCTCCCTCGAAACGAATGGCTCAACTCCTAAGACTCCCCGTCCAAGCGATGAAGCAGTTCTCTCAGCACAATCAAGGATTTTGAGCATATAAAAAATTAAGACAAGTGTCTACTTGATGGCAGAGAATTCTATATGTGGAGCTTCGAGGTGGAGGTGCTGCTACAAAACGGGCAGATATTTCACTACGTCGACGGGAGCTACGCGGGACCTGCTGAAGACACTGTTGAGGCTAGGGTGCAAAATTACAACGAACCACTGATGGCGTATGACGTCTTACTGCGAAACATGTCGACGACGGAGCAGCTGAGCATCCGTTCTAACAAGACAATGGCTGCTCTAGCCCTCGACGCCTGGCGACACCTCAACGGCGTATACCAACTAAAAGACTCGGTTTTTTCGAGTCGCCTGCTCCAACAGATAATGGAGACAAAAGTGGCCCCGGGGGAGAAGGCCAACGGCTACATCAACCGCTGTTGGAGCTTACGCAACCAAATCGCGAAACTGGGAAGCACAATCTCCGAAGAAATCTTCGTCAACATTGTGCTCCAAGGGCTCGGTCCAGCGCCGCGTCGAGAACGGGAGAGAAGTGCGTTCTACGTCAACAAAAAAGAGGAAAGCAAGCCGCTCATAAACTTTGAGCATCTAGCCGAGCGATGCAGATTC